CAGGGAGGACCACGCCGCCTGCTCCATCATGATGGGCCTCGCCATGGTGGAGGCCATCTCGTGAGTACAGGAGGGACGAAACTGTAAAAGCTGCTTTGTGCTTTGATGTGTTGGCTCGGTCATTGATCTCTCTGATGGGGCTGTTATCGACCCTCTGAGGACCTCAGATGTGAGCGCTGGCTGGCCATCAAAGGTCGAGTGAGGTCAGATTGATCGTGATGCAACATTTTGGTCAGATTCCAGACCGATGGAACGACTTTTACAGGCTCTGATAAATGCTAAATGGACTTGAGCTTTTCTAGTCTTCTGACTACTCAAAGCACTTTTACACCGCAGGTCATTCACACACTGATGGTAGAGGCTGCTGAGTAAAGTGACCATCAGAAGTAACTAATCACATTCATATACTGCCAACGCAGCAGCAGGAGCAATTTGGGTTAAGTGTCTCGCCTAAGCACACATCAGACATGTTGCTGCAGGAGCTGGGGATCGAACCCTCGACCTTCTAGTTGAGAAGACGACTGACTCTACCAACTGAGCCACAGCCGCTCTGACACATAAATAAATCAGAGACTTGTTTCACACACTGTACAGCTTGCAAGATACCAGAATTGAATACTTCGGTAAGATACTAGTAAAAAAAAAAAATCAAACACCATGGATACAAGTTTTGATACCATGGCAACAACAGTAGAAGTCGTCTGAATTGCAAAAATACATCAGCAACATTTCAGTACAGAAATGTTGTCGATGTATTTGTGAAATTCAGAGAGTCATCTCCTCTGCTCCGGTCTTTGTAAGAGTCATGATCATAACTTTTGCCTCTTTAAGAGACGCCCAAAAGACCTGAGAGTTTGATTGGAGCGCTGCTGCTCTCTTTCTTTTGCTCGCAGCAGCTTTTGGGTTTGAAAACACGACTGATGATCTGACTGTAAGATTCTTTTTAAAGCTTTGGTGCTTTTTGATGCAAGTCATAAACGTTAACAGAGATTTTATTGTTTAAAAACCTCTAAAAGGGACTTGACCCTGCTGAAGGCCACGAGCTGAAACACGTCGGTCTAATAAAGTTGATCTTCATACTTAAAGTGCTGCTGGAGATTTTTTACCTCCTCAAGCCTTTCACTCTGCATGCACCTTCAGAAAAACTGCTCTGCATCTAACAGTTAAAAAGTATGGAGGAGTTTGACGATGTAAAGCCAGATTCACATAAGCACCAAACCAAACATCCAGAATTATTTCAGTGTGAGCTGCAAAGTGTGAACGCAAACAGCCACAAATCACCTCGACTTTCCCCAAAATTTCCCAGCCTGCCTTTTTTGTCAAAATGTCAGCGTGAAGCAGGTATGAGCTGATGTGAGGACATGGGTAAATGTGATAATAAAAGTTTGGCTGTGTGAATAGAGGCTCATTTTCCCTGAAGAGGTCTTCATGCTGATTTTCAGGAGATGTGTTTTCAGATTAAACAAAAAGTGATGCAGCAGTGTTCATTGAAGTTGATAAAAGAAGTCATGGCTGTCACCTCTGTTCACCTGTAGTAAAGGTGTGACGTATTCACACATCAGGAGAATAACTATAATCTTCATACGTTTTCCTTTAGTCCCTTAAAGTACCTGGTCCTTTTTTTTAAGATTCCTCCTTCCTGTGTTCGAGGTGTAATGGTGGTCAGAGGTTTGAAACCAGAACAAATCTGGACAAAACCAGAATCTGTTGTGTCTTCATATGTCTGTGCTCTGTTACTCTTCCACAGGTACGTCAGAGAGAAGACTCAGACTGACGTGGACATGCGTGTGGGGGTCCACAGCGGGACGGTTCTCGGGGGAGTTCTGGGTCAGAAGCGGTGGCAGTACGACGTCTGGTCCACCGACGTCACCGTGGCCAACAAGATGGAGGCCGGAGGGATACCGGGGTGAGAGCGGGGAACAGAGAAACACTCACTGAAGAAACATGTTGATGTGTTAGATACAGATGTAACCATGGCAACAGAACAAAACAGTTAAGGTTGATGGTCTTAGTACGGGTTCAGTAAAACAGGAAAAAAAGCAACAAAAACTCCTGAATTCATGCAAAAATAAACATCTCTAAGTATGAAATGTAAAGATTGTAAAATAGATGATAAAATAAAATAGGTGCCTTTAGGAGCAATGTTTCATATTCATGATGAACCTGTGAGTCTCGGAGGTTTGTATTCAAATCTTAAAGGTGCACAAGGATCACTCCGAGTGGATCAAAATGTGCGATCACAGTGAGGTTGCAGGAAGTAGCTCGAGAGGTCCATCAGATACACTGAGCTCAATAACTTGTTCCTGTACCCGGGTAAGGCAGGGACCTCGGACCGGCTTATGTGCACACAGGATGGGATTTTTTTAAGATTTACTTTTGGGGCTTTTTTGTGCCTTTATTGGAGAGATAGGACAGTGGATAGGGCCGGAAATCGGAGAGAGAGAGAGGGGAATGACATGCAGGAAAGGAGCCACAGGTCGGATTTGAACCTGGGCCGCCCGCTTGGAGGACTACAGCCTCCACATATGGGACGCGCTCACTAACCACCACCAGCGCCCCAGCACTTTTAATAAATACTTAAAGTCCAGGACGTCTACTACTGCATAAAAACAAATTAGCGTCAGGAATGTCGTCGACCCTCTCTGCTCTCACATCCTTCATCACCCTTTTTTTTAAAACAGTAGTGATAATCTGTCGGACGCCTCTCCCTGGCTCCAGTGATCGGCACCTCTGGGTGACACTGTCTTATATTCACCGCTATGTTCAACTCGTTCCCAGCAACGTACCGCACTGAGAACTCTGAAGTTTCCCCGCACGACCGATTTAAAGAAGGAGGCGGGTCTTCCAGTTTGTGCTGTGTCACTCTTGGAGTTCACCTGTGTTTGTTGTTCAATAGCCGTTGGTAAAAAAAAAAAAAAGTTCAGAGCTTTAACGCCACCTTGATTGCGGTGTGAATACCGCCATGTGTGACTGCCTTTTGTCTCCACTCAGACTTATTCATTGTCTTGACTGCATGAAGCGTGACGTCTGCACCGTACACATACACACATTCATGCTAACTGTTAGAATGTTGCTAATCTTTGACCCCTGTGTGTGTGTGTGTGTGTGTGTGTGTGTGTGTGTGTGTGTGTCAGGCGTGTCCACATCTCTCAGAGCACCATGGAGTGTCTGCACGGGGAGTTTGATATCGAGCCGGGAGACGGAGGAGAGCGCTGCGACTACCTGAGAGAGCGCGGCATCGAGACGTACCTGGTGGTGGTTCCTAAAGGACCTGTGGGCAAGAACGGCATCAACGGAGTGGTGAGTAAAAAAAACAACGACAGACACAGACACAGACACACACACACACACACACACAGCGCAGGGATCTGGATATCTTGGATATGGATATATGACTTTCACTCTCTGCCTCCTCTTTGTTTGTTTTTGTTTTGTTTGTTCGTTTACATCAGAAGCTGTCTGTGACGTCATCCAATGGAAACTCTCCGCTGCTGATCAACACCACAGAGTGTAACGGAAGCGTGAACACGGCCTGCACCACACCCGAGGAGCCCGAGGAGCTCGACACCAAGGTAACAGAGAAACATTTACTGGTGATATTTAGCAGAACCCGTGCAAAGTTTAAACCTGAGGATGTCGCTAATTTATTTAACCGGGAGAAACTCAATTTCATTATATTGAGTTGAAGCCTCAATAATCTTCACAAAGATTCCTCTGAACATCATTCAAATGATCTTCTAGTTCCTTAAGTGCATCAGTTAAGAAATAACAGAATATACACAAGGGTGTCGTCTGCATAAAATGTATTTTTGTATCAGTTACATTGCTATACTTATCGTTGTGGATACTATAAATAAAAAGTGGACCCAGTATGGACTCCTGTGGGACACCATTTACATGTTTGATCTAAGAACAGAGTGATCAGAAGTGTCAAAGAAGTTAGATTAATCTAGAAAAAGCGCTGCACAGTTTTCAGTGTAACGGAAGCGTGAACACGGCCTGCACCACACCCGAGGAGCCCGAGGAGCTCGACACCAAGGTAACAGAGAAACTTTTACTGGTGATATTCAGCAGAACCCGTGCAAAGTTTCAACCTGAGGACATCACAAGCAGATTTCCTATAAATCCTTCATGCTGTTCCGTCATCTGTAAATAACATGAGGTGGACTGAGTGTAAATATTTGTGGCAGTTTATTTGAGGCTGACTGACATCAGTGATTTGGTACTCATACCATTAAAAAGGAGATCCAGGACTGTAAACTTGTTCTGTGGTCTTCAGGTGGTGAACCCATCGTTCCCAAACCCTCGGCGGAGGCTGCGTCTGAGAGACCTGGCTGAGCGAGTGATCGACGCCCAGGAGAACGAGCAGGAGCTGAACAAGCTGCTGAATGAGGCTCTGCTGGAGAGAGAGACAGTGCAGGCGTAAGAGACACCCCCCCCCCACTCTCTGAAACATGAAGAAACACTGATTATACATCACCTTAATGATAACTCCTCTCTGTCTGAAACATGAAGAAATACTGCATTGGATGTAAAAGAAACATCCCTACTCTTACACTTCAGCCCTATTCAGACTGTAGTTTCAAGCCGCGATATTTACGCCCCTGGTGCACAGAGGGGTATCGTCTGTGTAGCTAGTAACAAGAGGCGTTACAGGGTCAGCTGAGTCAGCGGGGGAGCGCAGCGCTGTGTGTGTGTGCGCATGTCTGACTGTGTGTGTATGTGGAGCTCCCGCTGTGCCGTGCTTCCACAACCCCCAAATGTAATGTGAACTCACAGGCTGGGACACAGATATTACTCCTTCTTGGAATCAGTATAAATCTTCAAAGACATAATGACGACTGAGCTTAGTTACGGCACTTTTGCGACTCATTCAGTACTTTGTTTTGATTAAGACCCATTAAGATGCACTGATTACGCATAGACAAGAGACCAGGTTGTGAACGCTTGGTGGATTATGTCTTTTTCTCCATCAAACTGCTTCCCGAAAAAAACTTCCTTCCTCACATTTTCCTCTAAAATCTAAACCTGGGTCCTGTTTTTACTCATTTAGGGTTCTAAGTGTCCAACAGGTACAAACATTTTGAGAATACTCCGGTAGATTTCCTCAGCCTGATTTCTTCAGCCTCAGTGATACAGGTTATTAAATGATACTGAGCTCATGTTGCACTAATTTATCAAAAACAGTTGATCCTTAGTTTGACGTTGATTCATATAATGCACAAACAATGTAAGAAGCCGGTAGAGTCTGTCAGTTCTCAGTGGTGTAATAATGAATTGAATGCACTGTTTTGGTGTGAATATTAAAGGATCATCAACATAACAGAGTTTTTTTTCTCTCTGGTTCTCTTGTGTGTGTTTTCAGTCTGAAGGGGAAACACACCAACAGGCTCTCTCTGAGGTTTGAGGACCCGGACCTGGAGACCCGGTACTCTGTGGAGAAGGAGAAGCAGAGCGGAGCGGCTTTCTGCTGCTCCTGTGTGGTGCTGCTCTTCACCGCAGCCATGGAGGCCCTCATAGACCCCTGGTCAGAGTCTGCACACACGGCTTTGTAAACATGTTGGATTAATGTCAACCAGGAGCTGCATCATAAACGTGTGTGTGTGTGTGTCTGTGTGTGTGCTTTAACAGGCTGATTGCAAACTACATCACGTTTGCTGTGGGAGAAGTTCTGCTGCTCGTCCTGACGATCTGTTCCCTGGCTGCCATCTTCCCCAGAGTGAGTTACAACATGAGTAAACTCAAAAAAACATTCAAATGAGGGCACAGTTTCCTGTTTTTTGTTGACACGGCTAAACACGGTCTCACAGCAGCAGCGGGTAAACAATGGTCGAGTGTGGCTAACAAAAGCAGAGATGGCACCGCCAGCCTCTGGTCCTCCCTGCAGGTTGTGGATTTGCATTGTTTCTGTGGAGTGGCCAGTTTAAACTGACAAATCAGGAAGATGAATGCAATTTATACCATTACAGCATCATGATAAGTGTGCAAAGTTTCAAGACTTTTTGAAAATGTTCCTTTAACATGTTTTATCTGATACGGATATTTAAGCTTTACACAGACACAGAAAGTTTTGTAAATTGGTGATAAGGTGATTTTAAAATGGCTCTATGTATGTATGTATGTATTGTCACACTTGTACAACACACACACAAACACACACACACAGAGGTCGGGTGTGTGTATGGTTCGGTTGTTTTGCATTAAGCAGAGCTTTTGATTTCACCTCATCATGGAAAGTCAGAGTTATTGATAACCATCAGCAGCAGCAGTGAAGTCGGTCAGAGCCACGCACACAGTCAGCTAATCAATCACACACACACACACACACACACACTGAGATGATGTGAATGATGCTCTGAGCCGCTCTCTGCTCATCAATATGAGCTGTAATATGACAGAGCCTCGGGCCTACAGACCATTTCCATGAACACAGTCAGTCTATTAACGGTCACGTGTCTGAATGTGAGCTCTGAGCTCTGTCAATGCTGACATTCAGACATGTCATACACACTGCATCAGGAATAAATAAAAACACGTGTTCATGATAACTTTGATAACGTTTGCTTTCAGGCGTCCCCGATCCAGGATATGGATGTGGTTTGGTCAACACGTGTTCAGACCAAATGTAGAGTCAATTCTTAATGCTTTGTCACGTCTGTCTGCAAGTGCAAAGCAACGAATAACTTTTTAAAATGCTCAGGTTTTTTTGTGTGATTTAATGTTAGGACGTCAGAATATCAACAGTCATAGTCCTCACACAGCAAAATGAGACTACTCAGCTTAAGTATAAAAACATAAACTTCATGAATGACGTCATTCTGCATGACTCCAGTCCTTGTGTTAAAGTGCTAAACATTCCTAATTGGATTTCTGTGTGTGTGTGTGTGTGTGTGTGTGTGTGTGTGTGTGTGTGTGTGTCAGGTGTTTCCCAAGAAGCTGGTGTCCTTCTCCACCTGGATCGACCACACTCGCTGGGCTCGAAACACATGGGCGATGGCGGCCATCTTTATCCTCACCATGGCCGACATCATTGACATGGTGAGCTGATTGTTACATTAACTCTCTACTTCTAAATGTTTAAGGACAGATTGCTCTGATAATTAAACCCAGGTATTTGTAATTTAAGACATGTTTGATCACCTCGTTGATTAAAGTAACATTCTGATAAACACTCAGCTAATTTCTTTAACCTGGAGAGTTTAAGCCTTAATTCACAAAGATTCCTCTGAACATCATTCTTTTTATCTTCTAGTTCCTCGAGTGCAACAGTTATGAAATAACAGAATATACACAAGGGTGTCATCTGCATAAAATGTATTTTTGTATTAGTAACATTGCTAAAATAGTCGTTGTGGATACCATAAATAAAAAGTACAGTAGACCCAGTATGGACCCCTTGCGGGACACCATTTACATGTTTTATATAAGAACAGAGTGATCAAAATGTCAAAGAAGTTAGATTAGTCGAGAAAAAGCGCCACACAGTTTGTTACATTGTTACATTTTAAGGTTTATTTTTGGGCTTTTAATACCTCTATTTAGAGATAGGAAAGTAAATAGAGTCAGAAATCAGAGACAGACAGAGGGGAATGACATGCGGGATAGGAGCCACAGGTCAGTTTGAACCCAGGCTGCCCGCTTGTAGGACTATAGCCTAGTCATAGTCAGCTAAATAAAAAATGTACGAAGAGGCATTTCATAAAGAATTGCGATTAGAAAGTCACTGGCAATTATTTGAAAAAATGTAAATATTCTCCGGGGGTGGGGGGGGATTTCTCACACACACTGTATGCAACAGGATGTACATAGTTACATACAGAAATTGAAATTGCTCAAACAGGCTTACTGTAGAGATTAAGTATCAGTGTATCCGTACTTTTATTGGTGAAATAAACATGACAAGGTACAAGTGGCAAAAAGAAAATGAGAGGAAGCCATAAGAGGCAATACACAGACAATGCACAAACACACAAACAATAATGCTTGTACAATCAATTTTTACAAACAATATTAAGTAAAATCATCAGACTGTATGCAGTCTGAGTAGAATCTATCGTTCCTTAAATCAAGAGATTATGAGTTAGTTACAGTTAGCTACAGTTGCGTCACCTGAAAGGTCGTGTTTTCTTCTTCTTTTGTTATTTAATGGCGCAAAGTAAACAGTGTTCTGATGCACTAAAGCCACCATCTGGCGGTCGTTCTGCATGTAAACCAGGCGCCAGTAATTTAAAAAAAAGAAAGTTTTTAGGATGAGATTAAAGTGTCAGGAAGACTTTGACTACTGTTTTTTATCTGTAACTGAAGTACAAGTCATTAAAACTACCATGAGGATTAGACTCCTTTAATTGATTACTGGTACATCAGAGTCTTACAATCCCTCAGCTAAAACTTAGAGTTCTGATATGTGACTTTATTTGTTCAGGGTTAATGGATTTTTGTGAGGCTGCTGACTAACAAATTTAGAAATAGTTTTGATGTGATGAATCTCTCTCTCTCTCTCCTCGGTCCAGCTGAGCTGTCTGCCTAAAGTCTCAGCCTCAGGCAGCCCCACTGTGGGCCCTCCTCCTCCTCCTCGTCCTCATCCTCCTCCTTATCCAGCCCCGATGGTTGCCATGACAACCCTAAATACTACAGCTACATCGCTGTGCTGGCCCTGATGGCCACCACCATGCTGGTTCAGGTGAGTCACATGGTGAAGCTCACGCTGATGCTGCTCATCACCGTGGCAACCGGCATCGTCAACATCTACAGCTGGAGGGAAATCTTCGACCACTACGACTCGGCCCGCTTCCAGGACTACAGGTGAGACAGGAAGCAGATTCATGTGGTTTGTTACTTTAACAGGCGGCCATTACAAAACAGAAGTGACAACAGGTTTGTGTTTCTCCGATCAGGTCCTCCCTGGTTCCCTCCAAGTTCACCATGTCAGTGATGATCTTCATCATGATGGTCAGCTTCTACTATTTCTCCAGACATGTAAGTCAGCTTCTAACATGTCACTTCACATAAAGAAAACAGGTGTGATACATATGTTGTGGTTTGATCCCAACCTTCAGACGGGATCAGACATTCTGATCTGTGATGGAAACAAAACTGGAAAAATAAGATGCACGTTTCAGGAATACTTTCCCGCATGCCTGATTCACCAACTTCTTCTTCAAACCCACTTACACCAATGCTTTCTTATCTGGACCTGGGATTAGTTCTTAACAAAGAACAAAACATAGGAACTCTCAACATCAGACTCATGCAGGGTTGAGTACTGATATGCCCGTGAAAAATGTTGGTGACTTTATTTACTTAAAGGCTTTATTTGTGATTTTTCACACTTAAATATAATATAAATCAAGTATATACTCTGACAATAACTCTGTGAGTCATGACTGTCTACAATGGGTGTAACACCAGAGTCCCACTGTCTGTGATGTTTTCAGAGTCCTATCTTCACTTTGTTTACATCGCCCGGACGGCCGGCTGACTCCTCCCCTCGTGTATAAAAGTTGTTTAATTGAGGGACTAGAGAAAAGAAGAATAACATACTGTACTCACTGCTTAACTGTGTTTCTAGATCACGCTCATTTCAGGTAAATTTACATGCAGTGTGAAGATACGAGCATAATAAAGATCGCTAGCATTAGCATGCTAACACAACAATGCAGCGCCAGTTGTTTTAGTTTCATGCTGGTGCTCAAGGGGCGACATCTTCTGGATCAAAAAATCGCATATAAAGCCTTTAATGTTTCCTCTTTAAAAAAAACATTTTATTTATTAATAATCATTTGAATTTAGCCAATGTTTATTTAATTTTCTTTATTAAATATTACCGCACACCTTTGCATCATGATTCATTCTGCGTCCACTGGTGACAAGAAATCAGAAATCATGGATGACTTTGGAGGTTCACACTCACCATCAATGGTACTGTATGGTGCCACTGTCATTGCTAATTGTAGACTGATGCATTTGTTAGTAGATGTTCAGCACCCATATTTTGAAAAGTAAAATATGCACATTTTTAACCCATTAGTCAGTTATTGTTTTATTAAAGGTCACATATTCTTCTTCTGTTTAACCAGTTTAAATAAGTCTCGGAGCTCCCCAAAACATGTGTGTGAAGTTTCTTGTTCTAAATCCACTCTGATCCTGTATTTGATAATGTCTATAAACCCCTCTATTTCAGCCCTGCTCAGAACAGGCTGTTTCTGTGTCTGTACCTTTAAATATGTAAATGAGCTGTGTCTGACCACACCCCCTCTCTGGAAGGGCTTGGGTGTACTCGGTGCTTTCTCGCTCCATGTCCCATTGTTTACGGTGAGAAGGCAGACTCAGAGGGCAGAACAAACACCTAGCTGTGGGAGTGTCATCCACCTGGGGGAGGGGCTACTGCCCTTTGTGATGTCATGAAGGGAAAATCTCCAAACGGCCTGTTTGAGCATACATTTTCTGAAAAGTGGAGCAGGGAAAAGACAGAGAGGATGGACCTTTCTCATCTTTAAGGCAGCGGAAAGCTACTGACCAACAAACACTTGAGCTACAATCAGAGGCCCTTTATTTCTTGTTGTTGATTAAATATTTAGACAGAAAGACACATCACACTCCTGGTGCTTGGTGTTCCTTCAGGTGGAGAAACTGGCCCGCACTCTGTTCCTGTGGAAGATCGAGGTCCATGAACAGAAGGAGAAAGTTTACGAGATGAGACGCTGGAACGAAGCTCTGGTGACCAACATGCTGCCTGAACACGTCGCTCGACACTTCCTGGGCTCCAAGAAGAGAGACGAGGTGAGAGAGTCACACACAAGGTCAAATAAGGGATGTCATGACACCAGATTCAAAACAATCTTGTCAAATTTAATAATATCAACATCACAACAACAAAAATAGAAATCCTGGGCGTCAAAATTGCTCTCTCCAGCTTTTGTGTTGAAAATGTGACTTAAGATCTGCAGTTATTTGAAGCTTTCTTACAGAATGACTTTTCATATTTCATGTGTCTCTCTGTGTTCCAGGAGCTGTACAGTCAGTCGTACGATGAGATCGGAGTCATGTTCGCCTCCATCCCAAACTTCTCTGACTTCTACACCGAGGAGAGCATCAACAACGGCGGGATCGAGTGTCTCCGCTTCCTCAACGAGATCATCTCGGACTTCGACAGTGTGAGTGTCTCGAGTTGAACTCAGTTTAAGACCATGGACGAATTAAAATCCCGTTCACTAATTATCCTGCTAACATTACAGCATTAACATTAGCTAACTTTAGCTCCTGACGAAAACTACAGTAGTTGTTTGAAATGGTTTCATTTCCAGTTTGTGTAACCCTAAACATCTGTCTGTGAAACATCTGTCCCTGTCAGCTGCTGGATGAGCCTCAGTTTCGCTGCATCACCAAAATAAAGACGATTGGCAGCACGTACATGGCCGCTTCAGGAGTCACTCCAGACGTCAGCAACGGATACAGCTGTATGAAGGTGTGTGTGTGTGTGTGTGCGTGCGTGCTTGCGTGCGTGCGTGCGTGCGTGCGTGCGTGCGTGCGTGCGTGCGTGCGTGCGTGCGTGCTTGCGTGCGTGCGTGCGTGTGTGCATGCGTGTGTGTGTTCTTTGTCTCTGTCTCTCTGTGGTCTCTTTTGTTTCTGCGTCTGTTTGAGTGTCATTGTGTCTCAGTGTGTCAGTATGTAGTCGTAGTTTTAGTCATCGTTAGATCAATAATTAAATCTGTAGTTTTAAGAAGTAGTTTTGACTTGTAGTTGTTATTGTATCTATAGTTTAACCTTCAGTTTCAGTTGTAGTGGAACCTGTAGTTTGATCTATAGCTGTAGCTGTAGTTGAAGTGTAGATGAAGTTGTTTCTGTAGCTGTAGTTCTACCTATAGTCTGACTTGTAGTTTTATCTTTAGCTGTAGTTGTAGTTCTAGCTGTAGTTTTATCTTTATTTTTATTTGTAGCTATTGGGTTAGGGTTAGGGTTAGGGTCTGTATGCTAACCTGTAGTTTGCTCTGTTTGCTAACCTGTAGTTTGCTCTATATGCTAACCTGTAGCTTGCTCTGTACGCTAACCTGTAGTGTGCTCCGTATGCTAACCTGTAGTTTGCTTTATATGCTAACCTGTAGTTTGCTCTATATGCTAACCTGTAGTTTGATATGTAGTTGTATTTGTATGCTAACCTGTTGTTTGCTCTGTATGCTAACCTGTAGTTTGCTCTGTATGCTAACCTGTAGTTTGCTCTGTATGCTAACCTGTAGTTTGCTCTATATGCTAACCTGTAGTTTGATATGTAGTTGTATTTGTATGCTAACCTGTAGTTTGCTCTGTATGCTAACCTGTAGCTTGCTCTGTATGCTAACCTGTAGTTTGCTCTATATGCTAACCTGTAGTTTGATATGTAGTTGTATTTGTATGCTAACCTGTAGTTTGCTCTGTATGCTAACCTGTAGTTTGCTCTGTATGCTAACCTGTAGTTTGCTCTGTATGCTAACCTGTAGTTTGCTCTGTATGCTAACCTGTAGTTTGCGCTATATGCTAACCTGTAGTTTGCTCTGTATGCTAACCTGTAGTTTGTTTTGAGTCGCTCAGAAGGAGGATCAGTCAGACAGAGAGCGATGGCAGCACCTGGCTGACCTCGCAGACTTCGCTCTGGCCATGAAGGTCACGCTGATGAACATTAACTACCAGTCCTTCAACAACTTCATGCTGCGCATCGGTACGTCGCTAACCCTTTACTCATCATGTCTGTGTGAGTTTGATGTTTTTACTGCTGTCGGTCAGGTTCATTTAATCAGTCTTATCAGAAAAACGGAGGACTCTCAATCAATACAATAACTAACAATGACGTTGAGGCTGGCGGGGAATCATGGGAGTTCTCTCTGATCTAAATGACAATAAAGACCTGAGCTAGACTGAAATAAGGATTCGAGCCTGCTTCTCTCAGGTAAGGTCTTAACAGTTGATCATTGTTCATACATTAATGACTTCTGATTCCTGCAGGTCTGAATAAAGGCGGCGTGTTAGCAGGTGTGATCGGGGCGAGGAAACCCCACTACGACATCTGGGGGAACACTGTGAACGTGGCGAGTCGTATGGAGTCCACGGGGGTGATGGGAAACATCCAGGTACACATCCCGACTTCACTGCACCGCTCTGATCAAAGACGCTGATTCCATCACTCACACAGTAAAAACAGCTGATGTACTGTGTGTGTGTGTGTGTGTGTGTGTGTGTGTGTGTGTGTGTGTGTGTGTGTGTGTGTGTGTGTGTGCTGCCCCCAGGTGGTGGAGGACTGCTACAACATCCTGAAGGAGTACGGTTTCCGCTTCGTGAGGAGGGGGCCGATCTTTGTGAAGGGGAAAGGAGAACTGCTGACGTTCTTCTTAAAGGGACGAGACAAACAGGGTTCATTCATCAACGGCTCCTCCGTCACGCTGCCACACCAGGTGGTGGACAGCTAAGGAGCGCACACACACTCACACACTCACACACACACACACACACACACACACACACACACACTCACACTCACACTGTCTATGGAGAGAGATTTGATCCAGCAGAGGTCGTTTAGAAATCTAAATATCATGTTGGATTTAAACAATGAGTCACACTGAATGTAAAACAGCTTCATGCTAACATGCTAACCATGCTAACTCAAGTGTCGGTGACGCTGCTCCTGCTGCTGTCAATCAAAAATTAATCAATCATGATACGGCTACAAAGAAAATCCAAAACTTTAACACTCGACCTCGTTCAGTTTTATTTCATGCAAAACCGAAGGAAATGAATTTAATCAAACTGACGCGAGTTAAATAACGTGATTGATTCTATCTCTTTAAATAGACGTCTTACAGATTCACACACATATGGAAGCCCTAAGTGGACATACATCCATTTGCTCTAATTGTGATAACGAGTAAATTCCTGGTTATTTTCTGATAACAATTTAATTTTGTGAGATCTCCAAAAATTGGCTGAAATTAACTCTTTATCACAGGAAAACAGAGAACATAAAATCAATGGATGTATGTCTGCTTAGGGCTTCCGTACACACACACACACACACACACACACACACACACACACACACACACACACACACACACACACACACACACACACACACACTCACTCAGTGCCATCCCCTCCTCCCACTAACACTACCTGACTTCTGGACACCTGGTCTCACTGCTGGGCCTCAGCCCTCATCTCCAGAACTCTTCCATGAACCTGAACCTGCTGACTCTTATGAGGAGGAGGAGGAGGGGGAGGGGGAGAACATGTAGGACGTGGACCAATGAGAGTCCAGCATGTGACACACACACCTGCCCCCGTGTGGTCGGTGTGTAAAAGAGTGTGTGCATCGCTCACAGTGTATTTTTTTCCCGCAGGTAAAGTATTGTTTCTAAAAACTGATCCAGGATGAGGTCTCTGGATTCTGGAAGTTTCTGCTCTGAACCATGAAGGACGACACACTGTGTGTGTGTTATGTGTGTGTAATGTGTGTTTGAGGGGAGGGGAGGGGGGTAGAAATATTTAAAAAAAAAAAAAAACGATTGTGGATCGATGGAAGTGCCTCTCACAGCCGATCACCATGTTTTCATTCATCTGAAGGATCCCACTGCTCCCCCTACAGGCAGGAGGACGTCACTGCACTGCCGTTAGAGGAGCGTTACAGTTTATTACAACTTCTAAACGTTAGTCTGCACATCACATGGTTTGGATCAGAGGTTTTTTACAAAAGTGTGTGAAAGGGAGAATCCCTCGCTGATATTTAAGAGAGATGAAGTTTATATTTTTCACATTTTTATCCACAGACCTTTAAATAAAGTATCCAGTAAATTAGTTGTCCTAGTTTGGGGTTAATATGTGCAAATCTTATTTTGACGACTTCACAGCAGACAGAGCCTCGCAACCCCCTGAAATCTTTGCCCCCCCTCCCCCCAAGGGAAGCCCAGACCCAAGTTTGGGATGATCTTAAAAATGTTGTAATAAACTGTAATGTTCCTTTTACTTCATGTTTGTTTTAAGTGAAAAGAAGAGTGAAACAAAGGGATGTGAATCAAACAGAAATGATGGATGTATACATCTGAACATGTTTGCAGCCTGTGTTTCCTCCTGGTGTTAACATGATGTGACGTCCCATTCTGAGGTCATTAAACATCACGGGCTTCTTCACTGAGGTCACATCTCAGCATGAGGAGAGTCAGACCACCTCAACATTTGGTTTTTTGTTGATTCTGTTTGTTCTTCTTGGACCTGCGTAATCCTTTTTAATCACTTCTTGCGGGGGAAGTTTCACCTGATGAAACCTGATTGTCTCTGATGTGCAGCTTCACAGAGCAGGAAGGAGACGTCCTTAATCTGTTCAGACTTTAGAGATGTATTTCACACCTGCAGCAGAATATCCAGACACAGACGTCATGTTAATCCCAGCTGGAAACCGGCTTAACTTTCTTTTTTCTTTTTTTGATACGTTAATGTGTTTAAGTACAGGAGAAGTTTGGGGATATGATGAAGTGCAATATGAAGTATGCAGGTGGAAAAATGGACATCTGTCAATACCTTTTAAAGGGTAGTTCCAATATTTTAAAACCAGGCTTTTTCATGCCTTTTCGGGGTCTGAAGGTCTTAAAGGCACTCAAAGAGTTTGATTGGTTCCAGTAGATGTCATCATCAGCCTGCAGCAGTGAAACAGTCTGTGAGGCTGCAGCGTGATCTTTGTGGGCGAATGTGTCAAAGTGAAGGCTGCAGGATGAAGCAATCTTCACCCCTCCTTAAAACGAGCACTGAAGCCGCTGTTTGGACCGGGTTACAGGTTGACTGTGCGGCCCGTGATTGTGACATCACACCAAATATGAAGGCATGAGGGAACCCTCCTGACAGTGTGAATTTATTAACGATATTTAATTGGACAGCAGCAGTGCCATACAGGAGAATGGCATGTTATATACAGTATAAGGGGTGTGGTGGGGTTTGAGGGGGGTGTCTTTAGTTCTGTCTTCTGCTGATTGTAAAGGTCATTAGTGTCTCTTGTAGGACGGAATCAAAGTGCAATAGTTTCTTCTTCTACAAACCTGAGTCCCTCCTCTCTGAAGCAGACGTTCAGCCCCTCCCCCAACTCATATTTTTATACAGTAGTTTAGTTCTATTATAAAGAAGGTGAGGAGGCTGTACATAGATTTTACACAGTTCAGATGTCTGCAGACACCGCTGATGTTTTCTTACATGTGAAAGTGCCAACGACAGAGAGCAGGATGGTTCAGATGTTAAAGCCACACAACATGGACCGCTCCTGGTTTATATTTAAAGAATCTCAGGCTGAGCGGAGCGGGGCGGGGGGGGGGGGGGGGGGAGCACTTTGAATAATGTGTCCTAGTTCTGTTTATTTCTGGTCCTGGTTTTTCGGTCTGTGCAGACTTTTTTTTTTTTAGAGCTAAGAACCAACATGCGTCGACTTAAAAGTGCCATGTGTAGGGTGAGCGGGCGGCGGTGGTTCAAACATGAGTCAGTGTGTGTTTCTGGATGTCGTTAGATTTGATTCCTCGTCTCGGTTTTTAGTGGACTGGATTAGACCTCCCTGTAGGTTCGGGTCTGCTGTAGTCCTGTTTTTTCAAGAACGTCTCAGTCAATGTGCCCTCTTTTCATTTCAGTCGTTTGTCATCATAATGTAAGTTGATAAATAAAGTTGGATAAAGACGAGTCCTCTGTGTCTCTTTCACTCCAAGCAGAAAAAAAACACAAAAAGTTTTTAAAATGCTTAAAAATCATGAAAATGTCAAAAGATGCAAATAATCTATTGTAAATGTTATTTTATTTATATTGTTTCAGGGCTACAGTAGAGTTTTCAGACTGTAACACAAAGTAAAAGTTATTTTAAGGTGGTCTCAACACCAGAATTTTAAACTTTTATACCATATTAGTAAAAAAAAATAGTGGGTAGTTCCTTGTTTTTTATAACCAAAAGTTTTTACTACTTTTGCACTTAAAGGTCACATTATGTAAAATAAACTTCACCATGTTCCTCTAACTCTAACATGTGTCTCTAGTCCGTCTACGAACCCCCCAATGATGAGAAAAGTCCATCCTCTCCGTCTTCTTCCAGCTCAACTTTTCAGAAAGATTTGTGCTCAAACAGGCCGTTTGGAGATTTTCTCTTCATGACATCACAAAGGGCAGTAGCCCCTCCCCCAGGTGGGTGACACTTCCACAGCTAGGTGTTTGTTCTGCCCTCTGAGTCTGCCTTCTCACCGTAAACAATAGGACATGGAGCGAGAAAGCACCGAGTACACCCGAGCCCTTCCAGAGAGGGGGCGTGGTCAGACACAGCTCATTTACATATTTAAAGGTACAGACACAGAAACAGCCTGTTCTGAGCAGGGCTGAAATAGAGGGGTTTATAGACATGATCAAATACAGGATCAGAGTGGATTTAGAACAAGAAACTTCACACACATGTTTTGAAGAGCTCTGAGACTTATTTACACTGAAGTAGAGAAGGAGGAGAATATGTGATCTTTAAGTTCTTGATGCTGGCATCACAACATCCCTGTGTGCTCTACTAAAGTCATTAAGCTGATTTTTAAAGACTCAAGTCATGTATTCCTTTGTTTTGCAAAAATAACTTTTCAGAGCAATCTTTTCATTCAGACTCGCAGCATCAAACACTTTTTTCTCCTAAAGGCTGACAACAGTTTATAATGAATCCAGTAACTTTGAGCAAAAGCTGCTAAACTGCCTTTTGTTGTTTTTATAGCAATGACAATAAATGATTCATTAAACAAACCATAAGAACAGGAACGATCTTTAAAGCTTTATGAACCAGTAATTTTGAAGTTTCGAATCTAATTATATCAATGACTTAATGCAGTAAGTTGTTTTTTTTATCCCTCTGGAGACAATTTGTTTGGAGCAGCTTGTACATGCAAGCTTAAACTAAAGTTAAATAGAGTTAAATAAATAAAAAGAACAGAATTCAATTAAAGAACAGACTGAAAAACTTTCAGACTTTTAGTCACAAAGTCCTTAAAAATATAAAAACTCAGGGAGCTATCTGACTGGGAAGAGGATGAACGATTTTGAATGAATAAAGTAAATAAATGAATAAACATTTTATCTTATATATATATTATATATATATATATATATATATATATATATATATATATATATATTATCTTTGAAATGTAACAGATTTATAATGTCACTCAGACACAGAAAAAAAACATAACAAAACATAATATAAAACATAAATGAATGCACGTGTTGCCGTGGACTGTAAATATTCCTCCAGCGCCCTCTGGTGGTGACGCAGCTCACGCAAAAAAAAAAACGTGAAGGAATTTCCGCTGACGTCGGTGCGTCAGTCCATAACAGGGCTGCAGCTGTCTGAGAGCAACAATAACAAGCTGTACTCAACTACTTCACCGCGGCGTAACCAGAACCTGACAGCGACCGAAACCACCGACAACCCCACCATGAAGCGGGTCCACTGAATCCTGGATCTGACCGTCCGTCCTACGGGTTCAGAACCGGGTCACCGCCAACCGTCTGAAAGCTCGACCGCAGGGGGAGCAGGGCAGTGCGGGGCTGCATCTGGGTCAGTGGGCCTGTCGGTGTCTGTGACGACGCGATCGATACCCCCGCAGTGTCATCCGGTTCTACACACTTCTGGACCCTTGTTCTGACCCGGCAACATGCAGGCTAACGGGGCCGGACAGGATCAGGATCGGGACTCTGAGCTGTCCTGCAGAAACGGAGCTCAGAACGGAGAGTCCTCCTCCTCGGGCGACGCCGCCGCCGCCGGGGACGCTCACTCCAACGGGCTGCTGTCCGTCACCAACAACAACAACAACAACGGAGTCCCGGTTCAGCCCGGGTCAAACAACAGCGGAAACCCGGCGGAGGCCAGCCCGGGCCTGAAGAAGAAGAAGCGGCTGTCCCAGTCCGAGGAGGACGTGATCCGACTCATAGGACAACATCTACACGACCTGGGGCTAAAGTAAGTCACTGTGCCAGCAGCCGGGCCGAACCGGCTGACTGTCAGAGGAGGATCCATCAGATCCATCCTGTAGATCACCTGTGGACATGTTGTCCTCGGGAGTACCAAACCTCACTGAGAAAACAGCTGATTTAGTGCTGTGTGCTCTAATGTTATTAAACAGAGCTCAATGTTATAAACAGCTGATCTGACAGGCACCAAACCTCACTGAGAAAACAGCCGATTTAGTGCTGTGTGCTCTAATGTTTTTAAACAGAGCTCAGTGTTATAAACAGCTGATCTGACAGGCACCAAACCTCACTGAGAAAACAGCCGATTTAGTGCTGTGTGCTCTAATGTTTTTAAACAGAGCTCAATGTTATAAACAGCTGATCTGACAGGCACCAAACCTCACTGAGAAATCAGCCGATTTAGTGCTGTGTGCTCTAATGTTATTAAACAGAGCTCAGTGTTATAAACAGCTGATCTGACAGGCACCAAACCTCACTGAGAAAACAGCCGATTTAGTGCTGTGTGCTCTAATGTTTTTAAACAGAGCTCAATGTTATAAACAGCTGATCTGACAGGCACCAAACCTCACTGAGAAAACAGCCGATTTAGTGCTGTGTGCTCTAATGTTATTAAACAGAGCTCAATGTTATAAACAGCTGATCTGACAGGCACCAAACCTCACTGAGAAAACAGCCGATTTAGTGCTGTGTGCTCTAATGTTATTAAACAGAGCTCAATGTTATAAACAGCTGATCTGACAGGCACCAAACCTCACTGAGAAAACAGCCGATTTAGTGCTGTGTGCTCTACAATACAGAGCTGATTTATTAGCATTATACCTGACAGGTGAATCAGGCAGCTGTTAATAACACAATAACACACAACACACCCAACACAGTTTCCATAGAGCTGTATGGGACACTCTGTGAACATTCAGTCCTGCGCTGTAGTTTTTTTCTGAACAGGTTCTCTTCCTGTCATCCTCGTTCTGCAGTAACATGAGCCGTCATTATAATCACATTCAGCCTGCTGGGGCATGACTTCACCCTGAGCTTTCACTAACTCATGTCAAGTCTGGACAGAGAGTTGATGCTAGATTATCAATGGCGTTTGTTGTGGGAGGGTAATGATTTATTTTGCCTTTTTAATAAGTTTTGCATTAGCACATGTTGGAAAATAATATTTTATGATCACATGCAGTGATGAAGAAGTGAAGGGTTAATCAGAATAAACAAAACTCACACACCATGAATGTTATTTTTCTGTATGTTAGGGCTTGGGAATCGAAACGCTACTTAAGTCACTAATTGAAAAAAGGGATTTAAACATGTTACAAAGTGTTGAGTATTGCACATTAGGGGGAAAAATCTGAGATTTCGAGATTTAAAAAGGACATATTATATACCTTTTTTAATATGTACCTTTAAATATGTAAATGAGCTGTGTCTGACCACGCCCCCTCTCTGGAAGGGCTTGGGTGTACTCTGGCTTTCTCGCTCCATGTCCTATTGTTTACGGTGAGAAGGCAGACTCAGAGGGCAGAACAAACACCTAGCTGTGGGAGTGTCACCCACCTGGGGGAGGGGCTACTGCCCTTTGTGATGTCATGAAGGGAAAATCTCCAAACGGCCTGTTTGAGCACACATTTTCTGAAAAGTGGAGCAGGTGAAAGACGGAGAGGATGAACTTTTCTCATCATTGGGGGGTTCGTAGACGGACTAGAGACACATGTTTGTTTTTTACCAGAATCCCACTGTGACATCACAAGGAGATCAATTTTGAAACTGAGCTTTTTTTTTGTTTTTTTAGTTGTAAGACTTATGCAGACCACAAACAAAGGACTGGATGGGTTTATTTCACATTTTGTGGGTTGGTAGACACACGTTGCCAGGCCGGCTCAAGCTGGGGTGGACTGGTAGTGTCGGTGTTCTCACTGTTTGCTTATGGACTCAGACATAGAGTCTGTTTTCTGACAGGACTTTCCAAGATCAATTCTGGAAGAAATCTCTGAATCAGTTGAGGAAACGGCCGTATGTGTTGAAGTAAACATGTCTGTAAACCTGACCTTAGTGGAAGTGGCCTGCGGTGCTGTGCATTCTGGGATTTGGTGTCTTTCATCCACATGAGCCAAAAAGACACTTTCTGCCTTTTCACAGCCAAGAAGGCTCCAACTTCAAAATGTATTTCACATTTCTACATACATGACCCAATGTCAATACAGGTTCATGTTTCAACGGGTGAAGTATCCCTCTAAGTGATTTGTCAGATTTCCTTTTTAAGCGACCTGTCTCATGTGAAAAGCTTTAAAATGAATGTCAGAACTTTCTTGATGTCAGAAAATTAACTAATAAAAAGAGAGATGAGCCCCATTAATATTAAACTTAAAAAGGTGAATTTGGACTACATTAAAAAAAAACTTTTCTATGTTGATTTTGTAGCAATAGTCATCTAACACTGGCTTTATGAAACTAACTATTCAATTAAAGATAACTGACATTACTAACTATAGTTTTTCAACCAATTTGTTTGCTGTGACGCTCTGCTGAATGTGCTGCAGACAGTGCAGAGAGGATTATAAACTCTGGAGTCAGAGCGCCCTCTGCTGGCAGTCTACATGATGACTCCATCTCTACATCAACCCAAGCATTGTTTGGTGCATTATATGTTCTGTATGTAAGGTTTGCATGTAGGAAAACATTGTGAAACATATCCTCCACCACTGACATATCTGTGATGAATGCAAAACAACTGGCCCCAGTTTGGCCCCCTCAGTAAAAGTGTTGGATTGCTCTGTGGTTTTTTGTTACAGTCAGACCGTGGACCTCCTGATGCAGGAGTCCGGCTGCAGGCTGGAGCATCCGTCTGCCACCAAGTTTCGTAACCACGTCATGGAGGGCGAGTGGGACAAGGTGTGTGTGTGTGTGTGTGTGCGCGCTCTGGATTCACACCAAAACATGACAGGAGTCACGCATTCATCAGCTATGAAAGTCATGCATTGTGCTCTGTGTTTGTTCAGGCTGAGAGCGACCTGAACGAGCTGAAGGCGTTGATGCATTCTCCGAGCGCCATCGTGGTGAGTTACAGAAGTCAAAAAAAACTAAATCAAACTCCTGCATGCACTCACAGGTTAGATCGGACTGAAGAACATAAACGAAGCAGAAGTCTCTTTTTTGAGAATTACTTTCTTAAAGGTAACAAAATACTGTGTTACACGTTACACTTAGATAAATAAGTTCATGATGAGATGTTGAAAACAGGAACGTGTGTAAAACGACTCGCCAATGCGACAGGAAGTGCTTTTATTTTGAAGACACAGGAAAGGCATAATGCAATGTTTTTGTCGCTAGCTTGATGTCATGAAGTCGAGACGACGTGCAGAAGTCCTTGTCAGTGGCGATTCCAGAGATATTTAAAAAGGACATATTATATACCTTTTTTAATATGTACCTTTAAATATGTAAATGAGCTGTCTGACCACGCCCCCTTGGGTGTACTCTGGCTTTCTCGCTCCATGTCTTATTGTTTATTGTTTACGATGAGAAGGCAGACTCAGAGGGCAGAACAAACACCTAGCTGTGGGAGTGTCACCCACCTGGGGGAGGGGCTACTGCCCTTTGTGATGTCATGATGGGGAAATCTCCAAACGGCCTGTTTGAGCACACATTTTCCTTATCAGTGGCGATTCCAGAGTCTTTGGGGGGGGCCCTCCAACCAAGTTTCACATCGCTATTATTTCTGCCAGGGTCCCCGACGTTCCTCCTCGTCATCTTTTTTTCCTGTTTTTCTCTCCTATAGATGGATAATTCCTCTTCATTTTTCTTTGTTGACTTTCATTCAGAAAATGTGGTTTTCACAGCAATAATGCACACAACACATAGCAGAGCAACACGAGTGAGTGCCTTCAGATGGGGCCCCCTTAGGGAGGTTACGAACTTTCATTGCAGAATTAGCACATTTCTGGGCCGCTGCTTTGATTTAAAGTTTTTCTTTTTGCCTCCCTTTCCCGTTTACAAGCAGCGCCTCTGCTCCATGCAGCTCGCTTGTTCTTTTGTTTTTTTAATCTCAGTTGGTGCTTAAATTTAAGTAGAGATTGTGTTCAAACTAGGCGATGTTTGAACGCAGTGTTGACATGAATCAGTGTCACAGAGAGATCACAGATAATCAGGGAGGGCTGAAATACTAAAGATATAACAGATGGAGCACAATGATTCATAAATGTTTAAAATTACATCTGGCACCAAAAGAACCACACAGATTTTTTTTTTTTTTTTAAAGTGTGTAGGCCGTCTGTTGTCTGGTTAAACATGTGTGCTCACTAACGCCCCCTGCTGGTCCTCCTGTGCAGCGGATGAAGTTCCTGCTCCTGCAGCAGAAGTATCTGGAGTACCTGGAGGACGGGAAGGTTCTGGAGGCGCTGCAGGTCCTCCGAGCAGAACTCACTCCTCTGAAGTACAACACGGAGCGGATCCACATCCTGAGCGGGTCGGTGCGCGCACACACACACACACACACACACACACACGCACACACGCACACACACACAAGGCTGACACACTCATTTGTGTTTGTTTATATGTTGTTTCCATGGGGACCCTGACTCAGCATCACGTCGAGCATGAGTCAATTACAACAAAAACATCCTGAGGGAGGTTCAGATGACGGTTTGGTCTGATGAACCTCTGAGGAGCATCCACAGTGACTTTAGTATATTAGCATGCAGACCCTGGAGCGCTCTAAAGACACACATAGAGATATACTCAAAGAACTTGACACATAATCTTTCCTCATGACTACAGGTGATTCATCTGTTTAATTTCTTTGAACAATCAGGGTTTACAGTTCAGCTAGAGCAGCAACCAATGAGAAGTGACTTCCTGTTTGTGGAGCGAGCTCAGTCACATTTCTGTATCTGGCAGCATAATGTCATTCAACCCTCAAACAGTCCTATAGGGGCAGGAGAGGGGGCTTGATACTCACTCATACTGCCAATCTACGGCAGTTCCTGGCAGTTTACAGGCAGTTGTCAGTGTTGACTGTAAATTCCCGTAAAGAGCCGTTAATCTGAACTCCTACAGTGACGATCACTGCCGAAAATCCTGCTGAAGTTATGATGCTTCAGAAAATCACAAGCTGACTCAACATTGAAGAGAGAGAACAAAAAGCCCACAGCACATTGATGCTAAAAAATCAATCGATTATATAAGTCTGGAGTTTCTTTCTCTTTTATTTCTAGGAGCCAGGGCTTCATGTGTGGTGTGTTGTTTTGTGTGTGTGTGTCTTTGATTTCTGTAACACTGTGAAGAAAAACAACACAAATCTACTAAACATGTCTGACTTACAAAAGCCTGAACACAATCATCAGAAGTAACTAATCCAATTAATTCACATTCATACGCTGCCAACGAAGCAGCAGGAGCAACTTGGTGTTAAGTGTCTTGCCCAACGACGCATCAGACATGTGGCTGCAGGAGCTGGGCATCGAACCCTCGACCTTTCAGTTACCCACTGAGCCACAGCTGGCCAGATAAATAGTGATAAATAACCTACTTCACAGGCCACACCTACTGTTAACTACTCTGATGGATCTAAACTGAGCAGGGATCAGAACAATAAGTGATCATTGTATCGTGTGTGTGTGTGTGTGTTACAGGTACTTGATGTGTAGTCATGCAGAGGACCTGAGAGTTAAAGCGGAGTGGGAGGGAAAAGGCACGACGTCCCGGACGAAGCTGCTGGACCGACTCCAGAGTGAGTAAACACTGACTCACACTCTTCACTGTACACACATCACACACTCTTTTGTTCTCTTACTGTCACTGTGTGTCTGTGAAAGTGTGTTACACTGTGTGTATGTGAAAGTGTGTTACACTGTGTGTCTGTGAAAGTGTGTTACACTGTGTGTATGTGAAAGTGTGTTACACTGTGTGTCTGTGAAAGTGTGTTACACTGTGTGTATGTGAAAGTGTGTTACACTGTGTGTCTGTGAAAGTGTGTTACACTGTGTGTCTGTGAAAGTGTGTTACACTGTGTGTCTGTGAAAGTGTGTTACACTGTGTGTATGTGAAAGTGTGTTACACTGTGTGTCTCTGCACTGTCCAGAGTTGTCACGATACCACAGTTTTTAAAAACTCCGATATGATACTAGTACAAGTCAAAAGATATGAACAGCTGTGTCGGTACCACGGCAACAAGAGCAGAAGTCCAAGGCGCCCCGATGCTGGGTCATGTTGTTTTTAATGACCTCAAACTGCAGACAAACTCCTGCACTCTGTCTTCATCATTTCACAAATACTTCATGACCCTGCATTCAACCCTGCCTGCTAATGATTATCTGACAAGTTACAAATATTTCACCACCTCCAACAACCTCTCTGAACTTCTGCTTCCTCTTAAAATCTGGGTCTAAATGTAGCAGTGGTGTGTCACTCCTCATTTCCTCTCCTAACTCCGCCCCCTCTCTGCAGCGTACCTGCCTCCGTCCGTCATGCTGCCCCCTCGCCGCCTGCAGACTCTGCTGAAGCAGGCGGTGGAGCTGCAGAGGGACCGCTGCCTCTACCACAACACCAAGCTGGACGGGGGTCTGGACTCTGTGTCCCTGCTGCTGGACCACGCCTGCAGCCGGTGAGGACCGCAGCACAGCTTTAAGCTAAGAAGAATGTTAAACTTTGACACCATTCTAGTGAAAATCCAACCATAAGGCAAAAATACAATATTGATTTTAATAGCTAGAGTAGCAGACACACTCCTGCAGTTTTTTTTTTTTTTAAAGCTTTTGAAACAATGATGATTTGATAACAGAGGTTGTGTCCTTTGTTTGAATGCAGTCCTCCGTTTCTGTAACTTTTGATATCACAGAGTTTCTAAAGATTGGATCTGGGTTTTGTCCACAACCTCACAATTCAATTTCGAGTTCGATTCATTGGGTCACGATTCCATATCGATCAATATGTTTCTATATCAATTTAATAATATGCATAGATGACATGAATACCCAGATAACTCATCACAGTACCTTTTTTTTTATATTTTTTAAATATTTATGTGTGCATTGGTTTGGTATTGGTTTGGAACAAACTGACTCAAAAGTGTGTTTTATCTTTGTATTACTTTATACATTATCTTTAATTTTTTTTAAAAAGAATAAAACATTAAAGTACAGTATGATTTAAAGTGCACAATTGTGCCTGACCTGAATTCCCTGCACCCACAGTGCCCCCAGTGGACAGGGGCGTCATTGCAATGAAAAATCGATCTTAGGATTTCCCTGAATCGATATTGAATTTGGAAAAATTAAAATTGCAATGCATTGATGAATGGATATTTTTAACCAGCCCTACTGAAGATACCAAAGTATCAAACATTTGAACAACCTCGCTCATACAGGCGGATATTTCAACATTAAACAAATAATGTTTGATTGTTTTTACAGACTGTGTGGCTTAGAAACTGCCCAAAAATGTGTGTACAATCACTATTTATTCCATTTCTTATGCCCTCTATCACATGTGTAGCATAAAATCAGCTCACATTAGAGTCTGCAACAACCATGAAACCATTCAAACGACCTGGGACTTGTGGTCAGAGGAAAGTCCAGGATGGGTAACAGCCCTGAGGCAGACTGAGCTTTAGATCTCATGTGAGTGTGTTTCTGTCGTGCAGGAAACAGTTCCCGTGTTACACCCAGCAGATCCTCACTGAACACTGTAACGAGGTCTGGTTCTGCAAGTTCTCCAACGACGGCACCAAACTGGCCACCGGCTCCAAAGATACCACGGTGATCGTGTGGCAAGTCGACCCGGTAACCAGTCACGACATCATCATCATCATCATCACAGCAGCAGACAGAGTTGTGTAAAGTCAATGTGTTAGTGACACAGGTGTGTGTGTGTGTGTGTGTGTGTGTGTGTGTGTGTGTGTGTGTAGGAGACCCAGCAGCTGAAGCTGATGAAGACTCTGGAGGGTCACGCGTACGGGGTTTCCTACCTGGCGTGGAGTCCTGATGACATGTACTTGATCGCCTGCGGACCTGATGACTGCTCAGAGCTGTGGCTGTGGAACGTTCAGGTACGACATCTCTCACTTCCTCATTCTCTTAAAGGGATACTTCACCAGCTGAAACATGAACCTGTACTGACATTGGGTCACATATGTAGTAGAAATATGAAACGGAGCCTTCTTGACCGAGAAAAGGCAGAAAGTGTCTTTTTGGCTCATGTGGATGAAAGACAACAACTCCCAGAATGCACAGCACCGCAGGCCACTCAATTAGCCTCAACTGCTCGTCGCTATATTGCGGCTCATAGAGATAATATCTGATTGAAGCACAAGACCTTCAAAATCCCCTTCATCGACATCAGTTTGAAGTTGAAACATACTTTTATCATACTTTAGTTCTTCTCAACTTTCTCCATAGAGCCTGTTAGCAAAGCTTCCAAGCAATATGGCGGACATTAAGTTTAGATTCTGGGAGTGAGGTCCCACCCACTGATCTGTGATTGGTCTGTAGCATCAGTGGGCCCTAACCCTAACCCTAACCCTAACCCTAACCCTACCCCATGGGCAGGTTGAAAACATGAGGAACTAGCATTGTAGTTTCACCCCCTCTAACCACAGCAGCCTCCGATGATGCAAAATGGTGATTTTTGAGCTTTCCCGTCTCAGGGGAAATTGAGGGCGGGATGCACGACCATTCAAAAATACTACCAGGTTATGATAAAATTCTTAAAGTCTTTATATGTGATTTTTCACACTTAAATGTAATATACATCAAGTAAATCCTCTGAAAATAACTCTGTGAGTCATGACTGTCTACAATGGGTGTAACACCCGAGTCCCACTGTCTGTGATGTTTTCAGAGTTTTCAGAGTCCTATCTTCAGCTTGTTTACATCGCCCGGACAGCCGGCTGACTCCTCCCCTCGTGTATAAAAGTTGTTTAATTGAGGGACTAGAGAAAAGAAGAATAACATACTGTACTCACTGCTTAACTGTGTTTCTAGATCACGCTCATTTCAGGTAAATTTACATGCAGTGTGAAGATACCAGCATAATAAAGATCGCTAGCATTAGCATGCTAACACAACAATGCAGCGCAAGTTGTTTTGGTTTCATGCTGGTGCTCAAGGGCGACATCTGCTGGATCAAAACAAATCGCATATAAAGCCTTTAATGAAAATGGGTGAGGTATCCCTTTTGTGAATGACAGCTTGCAGTCAAATCACATCATCATCTTCATCATCTTCATCACGTGTGTGCTGAGGCAGCAGCGAGCGTTGTGCTGGACTCTGTAACACTTCTCAAAGGGAGAATCTATCACACACACACACACACACACACACACACACACACACACACAGGAAATAGAAGAATAGGACACGTTGTGACATGAACAAAGTTTACCGCCTCCAGATATGTTTGTATAGATTTTTCCTTTCAGACAACACAGCACATCCATACGACACTTAGTGGAAAACAAACAAACATCGACACAGAGGCAGTTGTATAAAATGCAGAACTTCACTTTAGGTGATGAATGAATGATCAGGACTTCTCTGTTCTGTGGTCTCATTCAGCATGGCGGGGCGTTGAACGTCACTTTAACACAGCTTATAAAGGGTTTCCATGTTTTCTCAAATTTACCAGAAGAGCCATGTGTTGTGAATCTCAGTGTTTCAAGCTTGATGGTGATTGGATGTGAGGTTAATTGTGGTGTTTTTTTTTTACTGGTACAAAAGGGTTAGAAAGTAAAATAGATTTCTTCAAGGCGAGTTTATTTATGTCGCACATTTCAACAATTCAAGTGCTTCACACAAGACATCAAAAGCATCATGACAGAGGAAAGAAAAGAAACATTAAAATAGAAATTTAAAAATCACTGAAATTATTAAATCTGAACATATGTTCAAATAAAATAATTCAAATGAATTAATTGAAATAAATGAAGTAAAAATGTAAAAAGAGTTAAAAGTTACAGTGCAGAGTTAAAGTTTAAAATCTTATTAAAATTGTTTAATGAAAAGTAAACAGGTGTGACCTCGATTTAAAAGAGCTGAGAGTTTCAGCAGACCTGCAGTTTTCTGGGAGTTTGTTCCAGATATAGGGAGCATAGAAACTGAACGCTGCTTCAGTCTGTGGTCAGGCGGGCGGGTGGTGCAGTTGACGAGGATGGCGGTACTTGTTGCACTCTAAAATTATTAGAATCTGTGGGTTGTGCGGCAACAACCAGCGTCTCCATGACAACCAGCCGTCACACACTCTGCACAAACTGTTGTAAAAACGACCATCTGTGTCTCACTGCTGACTGTTCCACTCACACGCTCAACCTTCATCAGCTCCTACAGCCTCGGATTCACATGTTTTCTTTTCAGCATCCTCCTCCACATCCTCTTCCTCCTCTTCCTCCTCTTCCTCCTCCACATCCTCTTCCTCCTCCTCTTCATTCTTAAGGATTCAAGCGTAGTTGTTGTTGTGGTGTGAGAAATCAAGGACAGAATCTCTCTGTGTGAAGTAAACTTCAGTTAGAGGCCCGAACGCAAAAAAATCAATCTCCAGTTTGCTCATTCACTCCCGTAACAAACACGTTATCTCAGTGTGTAGTAGAGTGTAGATGTGTGTGTGTGTTGTTGTGCAGACGGGGGAGCTGCGTACAAAGATGAGTCAGTCTCACGAGGACAGTCTGACCAGCGTGGCGTGGAACCCCGATGGCAAACGCTTCGTCACTGGAGGACAGAGAGGACAGTTCTACCAGTGTGTGAGTATCTCTCTCTGTGTGTGTGACCATCTGCATGTATGTGTGTGTGTGTATCTTTAACTCTACTCACAGGTTCTAAGCATTAGACACAGAACAATGTCTCCTGAAGCTTCAGTCAGATTTATCTGATGAAAGGGTTTGCATGTTTCTATGTGTCTGTTCATTTTGTTGATTTAGTGCCCTCAGGTCAGATAGGGGCCAACAGGAGCTCCCTCTGCCTGCAGAGAGGGGACACTGGGGGGGTGGAGGGGGGTTACAGGTGTTATCAGTAGTGTTGTAGTCAAGACCCAGTCAGGACGAGGCTGTGTGCTGGACATTTCTGTTATCAATGCAAAAGAAAGGAGTCAATAAATGTCTTTGTTTAGTTTAATTCTTCTTGCTGTAGAAGGAACAAAGCTTCAGAGGGTCAATACAGTCTGAAGGAAAGCTCAATGTAATCACAATGTGTTCGGGTTTATATACACATGCTTTACAGAAAAACCTTTGTCATACATTTCAACACATCGCACAACAGTAATGTCAAGGGAACTTCAAGTCTCGGTATCTTTGATATTTTCGCTATTTGTGAGAAACCTTCATGCACGCGGTGCAGACAAAACAAGAGTATTACTTATTCTATTATTGTTGCATTTCTCACGGTCTCGAGACCGGTAAATTTTGAGGACTAGAACGCGAGTAATCAGGACTTACTCAAGAATATTTGACCTTAAACTGTCTTGTTTTTAAGGTTTAATCAATCAGTCAACATGCGGCATATGCGCCTCAAAACACTCAGTAACATTTATAGGATAATACACAACAAGCAAATAAATGCAGACAGATGAGCATGATAATATTAAACAGTTTACCAATTTAAAAAATCTGCCTATAAAAAAGGATAAAATGATCCATGTTAAATTGTTGCTACATCTGTGTCCTCCTGACTCCAGGACCTTGATGGGAACCTGCTGGACTCGTGGGAGGGGGTCCGAGTGCAGTGTCTGTGGTGTCTGAATGACGGCCGGACCGTCCTGGCATCAGACACACACCAACGCATCAGAGGGTATAACTTTGAGGACCTGACCGACAGAAACATGTGAGTGTCGACCCTGACCGGGCTCGAGAGCAACAGAACCCTTTGTTCCTGATTTTTTTTTGTCTCACGGTACACCTGTATTAAACCTGTCTCACAGGTGTGGGTGGTTTAGTGACAGAGCAGTGTGTGCTTCTCATATTGCAGCAGAGTTTGTTCCTCCTATTGAGGGTTTTCTGTTTTGTCGTTGTAGCGTGCAAGAGGATCATCCCATCATGTCGTTCACCGTTTCTAAAAACGGACGGTTAGCTCTGCTCAACGTGGCCACTCAGGTGAACTGCAGATTATCCTTTAAAAAAACATCCTTTTATCTGAACCTCACCTGGTTTAATAGCTCAGAATTAGTAACATCTGTGTGTGTTTGTTGTGTGTGTGTTTGTGCAGGGAGTTCACCTGTGGGACCTGCAGGACCGGGTGCTGGTGAGGAAGTACCAAGGGGTGACCCAGGGCTTCTACACCATCCACTCCTGCTTCGGAGGACACAATGAGGACTTCATAGCCAGTGGCAGTGAAGGTTAGACGACACGGTGTTTGAAACACTCAGAGACAGCAGACAGATCAGAATGAAGGGGGATGTATGTCTCTTTAATCGCATACGAATGTAAATGTAGCAGCTGTGGGATGAACCAGGTACAGACAGTCACTTTTTAGCAACATATGAAAAAATGAATACCAGATCTCCTGAAACACATTTGTTGTTATGAGCTCCAGAAGTTAAAAACAAAAAGTCATTCAGCTGACACTTGTTACAGTTTGAGGCTACACTACAGAGATTCATAGATTATCAAATAGATAACTTGGCTGATTAATAAATGAATGTACATTAAAACTATTTATGGGTAATCCCGGTCACAGGGGTTAGCAGTAGAGGGGATGCACACAAAGTGTTTAACTGCTTTGAAGTAAACATTGACAGATTATTCTGATCCCTTTTGGTGTCTCCTGTCAGACCACAAAGTGTACATCTGGCACCGGCGCAGTGAGCTGCCCATCGCCGAGCTGACCGGTCACACACGTACCGTCAACTGTGTGAGCTGGAACCCCGTCCTGCCTGGACTACTGGCCAGCGCCTCAGATGACGGGACCGTCCGGATCTGGGGACCCGCCCCCTTCCTGGACGTCCAGGATGCAGATGGGCTCACTGGTATGAAACACTATCAACAGTCATAGTATTAATGTTGCACGTCAGGAAATGCTGAAAAGGTCGGTCATTGTGTAAATGGTTCTGAACATTTCTTTCGCTGGTTGTTCGCTGGTGTACTTGGAGGATGTCTTCCTTAGTTTTTATGTTTCTTTGGGGAGTTTTCCCCCATTGACAAAAAGGACAAAATGACTGCTATAAGTAGGAGAGGACATATTAAGGCTAACCCAACAAGACAAAAGAGTGCAAAAACTGAAGAAGTCTATAGCAGCCTATAGCAGCCTATAGCAGCCTATAGCAGCCTATAGCAGCCTATAGCAGCATAACTAGGAGCTGGTCCATGCCTGAGCCAGTCCTAACTATAAGCTTTATCATAAAGGAAAGTTTTAAGCCTACTATTAAAAGTACAGAGAGTGTCTGCCTCCTGAACCCTGACTGGTAGATGACTCCAAAGGAGAGCCGCCTGATAACTAAAAGCTCTACCTCCCATACTACACTTACAGACTTTAGGTACCACAAGCAGGCCTGCATCCAGGGAATGTAATGTTCTAGATGGGGTAATACTATGGGCTTTATAAGATAAGATGGTGCCTGACCGTTAAGAGCTTTGTAAGTAAGAAGAAGAATTTTTAATTCTGTTCTAGTTTTTATAGAGAGCCAGTACAGAGAAGCCAATACTGGAGTAATGTGATCCTCCTAGTTCTAGTCAATACACGAGCTGCAGTATTTTGGACTAGTTGAAGAGTCTTTGATGAATTATTAATACAGCCTGATATAAGGGAATTACAATCATTCAACCTAGAATTATGAAATGCATGAACTAGTTTTTCTGTATCTTCGGAGACAGGATGTGCCTGTTTGTTGCCATGTTGTGAAGGTGGAAAAGGCTGTCCTTGAAATGTGTTGTATATGAAGGTTGAGGAACATTTCCTTATCATACTGAACTCCAAGATTGTGGTACTGAATGCCAGGCTGATGCAATCTAGGACAGTTACATCATTAGAAAATGTTTCTCTGAGGTTTTTTGGGCCAATAACGATAACGTCAATCTTCTCTGAGAAAAGTAGGGACGATTTCCGGTTATCCAGGTCATGATGCCCTTAATGTATGCTTCTTATTTAGTTAGCGGACTGGTGTTTTCAGGCTTCACTGATAAGAATAATTGTTGGTCTTCTGCATAACAATTAAAATCTAAGGAGTGTTACTCAAAATAGTACTTAGAAGGTGCTTCTATAAGGGGAAAGGAATTGGTCCAAGTACAGAACCCTGTGGAACTCCATGCCTTAATTTGGTGTGCAGAACTAATCATTAAGATGAAATATTGATTATGATGATGGAAGTTTGTGTGTGTGTTTGTTTGTTTTTGTTCTGTTAGAATGTTGCAGCATGGACAGCTGATGATCTGTTGCCGTGGTGACCCTGAGGAGCATTAAGACTCTATAAACACTTGAAATGATGCAGCGGGGAAGGCTTTGGTGATTCGACAGCTGCCTCCTGGGGGCAGGGTCTGTGGTGCTGCATGTGCGGCCAGGTGAAGCTGGGCTCCACCTCCAGCGTCTGACCCACCCGTCCTCCTGTGTGAACCCTCAGCCCCCTCACAGGCCACCCTCCTCCTCCTCTTATTTATTATCAGCTACATAATTTATTGATGAGTAGTTCACTGACTGGGAGATCTGTGTTCTGTCTCCAGTCTGAAGAGCTGTTCCCTTCTCTGAACCTTTTAAGAGATTTTATCAACAGGAACATTGGATGGATGTTACACCACCTTGAAGAGTATCTTCTTAATGCAAAAGATGACGTTATCTTGTCCTTTTTTTAGTGCAGAATAAGAGTTTTATTCTTTTTTCCTTCAGCTTCTAGTCAGAGACAGATTAGTATTTGATGAGCATGTTGCAAAGGACGATGTGTCCGATGGCTTTCTGGTGTTTTACACTTGCAGTTAGTCTATAGTCTGTAGTGTGATGCATGGTTAGCTGACCGTGAGCAGCAGCCTATGTATGGAATGAAGTTTTAAGGTTTTATCAGTCGGTCCTCACCTGTGCACATCTGAGTGTATTTTTTCTTCTTGCTTTCACATCTTTGATCCCTCTTTATGTGTCCTCTGCACTCAAACAGCAGACTTCATATGAAATGCATTGCTTTGGTTTAGTTGTTACATGTTGAAAAAGTTTATTTATTACATTACTTTTCTTTTTTGTTTTTTACTTTGAGTGGAGCTGTTACATTAAAGGGCACACTCCCCGATGTCCACTGTGCACACTAAACAAAACCCCGCTCAGAGCTGAAATACTTTAAAGTTAAGACTGGTGTTTTCTCTGTGCTTAAATATGGTCAACAAATCCCATGGGGAAAAAAACAGAACCACAGTTTGTCTGTATGTTTTTCATTACATTCTCACCTTTAATGAACAGAAGAGTATTTGCTCCAAGTGTAGGCACATGAAGGTAGATGAAGTTCAGAAAGGCAAGAATAAAGTCTGAATTTTGGCGGACTAGCTTTCTCTATCTGTTGCAGGTTTGATTTAAAAAAATAAAGGAGAGGAATACTTTTTACCTTTTCACTTTATTTTTCTCAAAATGCAAAGTCAAATGCCAAATCTGTTCTGTGCCATTTGTTTCTTCTGTCAGCCAACCAATCACTTTTTATATGTAAAGCAACCATTCATAACAAATGAAGATGTAACTTTGATTAAAAAAAAACACACCTCAGATATATACTGTAATGTTTAAAAAGAAGTTTAATAATTCTTTAAAAGCGGCTTTTATCAATCATGATGAAATATGGGCATTTATTGGGGATTATTTTCAGCGTCGGATGAATCTGCATGTGGATTTGCTGACTGTAAAAATGATTCAAGAAAACAGCAGACTTCACTTTATAAGAGGAGTGACTGAAACAAGTTATCGGTAAAGAAGACACACTGGCAGTTCAAAGTGGGGTGTTTTGGGGTATGCGTCATAGACTGTATATGAGGAATGGATGTAGCCACAATGATGTCATCATTAATTTGTAGACTAACATTTGAAGCCTCCAGTTTGGGATGCTGGAAGAGACCATATTTGGACCAGAATGGGGAGGTGGAGAGGAGTGAGGGGTCAGCAAACACTGTAACTGTAAATGCTTCTTTTTTTTTGCGATTGCGCTTTTCAAAAACAGGCTTTGAAAAGTACTTACCTTCAGAAATAGACCGCCTTCTCCTCAGAGTGATCAACCTAACACTGAATAAAACAGTTTTTCAGGTCGTCATGGTACTGCCTTGTCACTCACATGTAGCTAAGCCTTAAATCCTCCCTCGCTTTCTGACTCTAAATGGGATCATAATTCACAAAATGAGCATCATGTTGTACTAAAGAAAACTTGAAACTACAAAATGAGACAACAAAGTTATTAGGAAAATGTTCACTGAGGGAATAAATCAACTGGAAAGTCGGAGCATTTTTTCATAGACTTCTATGGAATCAGGCTTTTTTTTTAATCCAGAAGGGTTGGTCATTAGAAAGAGCGTGGGTTTGAGGTTCAGACCACTTCTAATATACAGTCTATGTGCAGGCCATGATAACAGTTCAGAATGATGGGATGTGTTTTTCTCACAGGTGGTAACATGTTTGTACGCAGGTGTAACATACAGGTATAATGAACTTGTACAAAGTGTTTCCTTTCAGAGTAAAAGAACAATGTTGCCTGACATGCTGTTCTGTGTATATGTGCTGTATTTCACTATGTCATGGCGTGTATGATGTACACCTGGCAGACAGGACGACGTGTGTGTGTGTCAGGGTTCCCACGTCCTGCTTTTTACAACTCACAGCTTTGTACCAAAACGTCTGACTGCACTGATAATGTCACATCACACTGACGATGTGACACGACACCCTATTAATTAACATGTAACCACCATGACGTAACATGAAACATTTACAAAGTATCATGTTGTACTAATGGTTAACATGTAACACTGACGATTTAACAGGTTACACTAATACTTTACATGCAACGATAACGATATAGCATGTAAGACTGACAAAATAACATGTAACACTGATGATTTAACATGTAACAATGATGATGTCACATATTACATTGTAGAGGTAATTATAAGTGAAACATATTAATTATTTGTGTAACATGTAACACTGATGATGGAACATGTAACACTTCACCGTACACTTACGATTAACCTCTAACACTGATGATGAGACGAGTAACAAAGAGGTAACATGTAACACTAATACTTTAGTGCAACAATAATGATGTAACATGTAAGACTGACAAAATAACATGTAACACTGATGTTGTAACATGTAACACTGACGTTGTAACATGTAACACTTCACCGTACACTTACGATTAACCTCTAACACTGATGATGAGACGAGTAACAAAGAGGTAACATGTAACACTAATACTTTAGTGCAACAATAATGATGTAACATGTAAGACTGACAAAATAACATGTAACACTAATGTTGTAACATGTAACACTGATGATGTAACATGTAACACTTCACTGTACACTTACGATTAACCTCTAACACTGATGATGAGATGAGTAACAAAGAGGTAACATGTAACACTGATGATGTAACATGTTACACTAATACTTTAGTGCAATGATAATGATGTAACATGTAAGACTGACAAAATAACATGTAACACTGATGTTGTAACATGTAACACTGATGATGTAACATGTAACACTAATGATGTAACACTGATGTTGTAACATGTAACACTGATGATGTAACATGTAACACTCATGTTGTAACATGTAACACTGATGATGTAACATGTAACACTGATGATGCCAGATGTTACACTCATGATGAAACATGTAACACTGATGTTGTAACATGTTACAAAGAGGTAACATGTTGATTAGCATCTAACACTGATCGTTAAACATGTAACAATGAAGGGGTAACGTTACATTGATAATTAACACGTAACACTGATGATGTAACATGTAACATGTCACACTGATGATGTAACATGTTGATTAGCATCTAATTCTGATCGTTAAACATGTAACGATGAAGGGGTAACGTTACATTGATAATTAACACGTAACACTGATGATGCAAGATGTTACACTGAGGGTGTAACTCAAAACAATTTTAGACTCATACATTTCAGACCGCTCATTTCCTGCTTCCGCTGATTCTGTTTCCGTTTTTATTTTCAAGTTAATTCTCCTAAATCTCTGCAGGACTGTCAGTGGGAACCCTGCTCATCTGCCTGAACTACATCGTAGCCATCACAGACACACATGCTAGTGCTCCACAACAATAGATGTCACACACACACACAGACACACACACTGATGTCACAGATGTGGTGTTTCTAGTTTCTGCTTCTGTGATTTCCTTTAGTTCGAGTATTTCCGGCTTCTTCTCTTCTTTTCTTCTCGCTGTAAGAAGCCAAAGTAGGAACTCTGTTTGCTTGCAGGCAGTTTTCTGCCACAAACCGTTTTATATTTTAAATGTGTTATTAAAGAAGTGATTGTACTGTTCTGTATCGTTCTGTAGGACAAGTGTTATGTATGCATATTTTAAATAAAGCATTCAGGGGTTCAAAACGTCCTTTACTTTGAAATGTTGTGACTTTATGCTGAGCACAGGATGTTTGTTTATGAAGCGTGTCTTTCTTTCAGTTTGACTTCAGTGAGCCGCCTCACACAAACCATCAGAGGTCAGGTCATCAGCGTGACGCAGGTCAGAACTTAAAATAACATCAACTTAAATCAAATAAGTGAACCAGGATCAGTGTTTTGGGGTGGCCAATCAGATTTCTGCAGGTTGCTCCCTCCGACTCCGCCCCTGCATTTGATGTTTTCCTGTATTTGACCTTATAAGCAATAGTCTTTGCGGTGTGTTCTAGTGCAACTTTGGGCCAAGACAAAAGGCAGACTTTGCCTTACGTTTAGACAAAGAGGTTCTTATTCCACAGGAGTTAAAACAACTCAAAAATTGAGCCATCTATGTTTGGCAGGTTTCTTTTAAAGGTTTCTTTATGGGCTCATTTACACCTTTATTTTAGAGATAGGACAGTGGATAGAGTCAGAAATCGAGGAGAGAGTAGGGAAAAGAGCCACAGGTTGGATATGAACCTGGGCCGCCCGCTTGGAGGACTACAGCATCTGTACATGGGGCGTACACACTAACCACTAGGCCCCCTGTGTGGCAGGTTTCTAAGGCAGTGTTTTAACATTAGCTTACTGTTCAACTGTATTTTAGTCTGCAGCTTTCATAAAATGTCAACGACAGCCGACGTTATTTCTGACTGAAGAGAATTGAACTTTGAAGTGCTGATTAAATTATTCTGCTGTGTTGAAGTTTTGAACACATTTGGTTTTAGTTAAATATCCACAAGGTCAAGCCAAGAACTCATTACGAGAATAACACAGTCTAGATAGTTAAATATATATCGTGTTCTTAAGTATTGTTTCATGTTCAGAAGAGATTATGACTCATTCTGAGAACAGAAAAAAACCCAGACACAGTGTCTTTTTTATTATTTTATTTATGAAACATTATAATCTCCCTCAAAAAACAAAACAAACAAAAAACCCAGAAAGTGAACACTTGATGAGTGTGGAGTTGTTCATGTAAAAAGGCCTTTTTATGAGTAGGATGGACCGACTGTGTCTGATTATCTGTCTGCACACACACACACACACACACACACACTCACACACTCACTCACTCACACACACACCGTGCTACTCAGCTGAACAGTGTGTGTGTTCAGTTAATTAACACAGCATCAGTGCAGGTTTGATCTCACAGTAAAAAAAAAAAAAACATAGATTCATGCCTGTCCACAGACAGAACAACCTTAGTGGGGCAAAATACTCAATGAACACACACACACACACATAGGCAGAGATGTGTGTGTGTGTGTGTGTGTGTGTGTGTGTGTACTGTGTTACAGTGATCTCTGCTGTCGTCACAATAACAGAGTTTCGATCACACTCACGCACTTCTGATTCGAACAAACATAAAAAATGTAGTGGAAGCTCCTGACCAATACTGCAAGCGTTCAGACGACTGAAGGAGTGTATGTGTGTGTGTGTGTGTGTGTGTGTGTGTGTGTGTGTGAGAGAGAGAGATGAAATCTGTTAGAAGTGTGTGTTCATCAAGGAGGGACAAAGAAAACAAAGCTTAAAATCATTTTCACTACAGATAGATTGTTACTTCAGCTGATCCATATTTATGAATTTAAAAACAAAACATGTATGGTTAGAATAGCGTCATGTAGTTTGTCCAGCAGAGGGCGCTCTGACTCCATAGTTAACAATCCTTCCAGCACTGTATCCATCACGTTCAGCAGATCAGACATATGTTGTATAAAATTACAGTATATTAATTGTTAAATATTTATTCTTCAGTAGTTTTTTTTGTGTCAGCGGCCTCCTGAGGACCTGCACATAAAATATTGTCTTTTATTATTTTAACATAATAAGTTATCAATTTTAAACAGCTGATATTGGTATGTGTATGTCCGCCTGGGAAACCGATTGAGTAGTGCAGCGAGATGTGTAGCACAAAAAAAACCTCCTTATTTATCTGATACTGTTGTCTGTAAAATCTCTCATTTCAGCTACTGTCTCTTTAAGGCGCCCCCCCATCCCCCCTCCCTACGTGCCCACTTTCCTCCGATTGGCCAACTCTGTCAACAATGATGTTCTGATTATCTGCTGATGTGAGGGCCTTAGAGATGAGGTCTAATATTATTTCATAAACCTATCACTGATTTATATTTGAGATTTAGGCTGGATGGTTTTTTCAGAGAGAGAGAGAAAGAGAGAAAGAGAGAGAAAGAGAGAGAGCAAGCGAGCAAGCGAGCGAGAGAGAGAGAGAGAGAGAGAGAGAGAGAGGCTAGCTGCTGGTGATGTTTCAAAGCATCTGTAAACACATTAGCACTGAGGCTAACACTGGCTAGCATGAATGTGGTTCACATACTTAAAACAGGTAGGATCTCACTAAAAGGATGAACAGGTTAACACAGGCTGGAGTCACCAGGTTTGTTTACATCCGTTTTCATTATTTACATCTTGTGAGGTACCTCACGCTGGCACACAGCGGGTTTTCTCTTCCTATCTTGTCGTGAGTGTTCTATCATTTTTTGGATCTTTCGGTGTGAGGATGTTTGAGACCACAGAGAATTACTATGTGTAGTTTTCTTTATACGCTGATGATGTGATGAAGTGTTAGATGATTAAATGTTAACCTCTGTATTAAAGGTAAACGCTGAGATTGTGACGACAGAGCAGAACTGTACACACACACAGGACAGGATGTGTGTGTAGATTGCGGGGGTTGTCCTGGAGTTTGACAGCAGGGGGGAATCAGAGAGCCTGATGGGGGCGGGGCTTCAGTCGTTGATCAGAGCCAGGATCATGCTGGACAAAAACAGAGGTGTGTGTTATTTCAGAGCTCGCAGTGTGTGTGTGTGTGTGTGTGTGTGTGTGTGTGTGTGTGTGTGTGTGTGTGTGTGTGTGTTCTCACCTGTACAGGTAAATAAAGAAGCAGAGCAGGTGGTAGCCCAGTTTGATCATGGCCTCCTTCATGTGGGACTTGAGCTGGCCCCGGTTGTGGATCTCAGTGGGGTCGAACACGCCCATGTTCCCCATCGGGACCTTCACGTACCTGAACAGAACAACCAGAGACCAGGTGAGTCTCTGAACCAGGACAGGAAGCAGCTCTCCCAACTACTGGTGGGTACTAAGAACCAGTATCTCTTGGTACCAGAACCTGATTGGTCGGTACTGTACCACTTTTTAAAGTTAACATTCCTCCTTTAGATTAAAGAGCCTCGTTCACCTTTACGTCCTTTAAAAACATGAAATGATGCTGACTCAGCAGAGGAAGAGAGACCTGCACATCCGGTCATTACGGACTGAAATGAAGATGTGATATTTAAATCTGAAGATCAAGTCTGTGGTTCCCCTACAGTTATTTGAATAATCAGTGTAATCCAGACTGGGGTCAAACAAAAGGTCAGCGTCAGTCAAACGTCTGACTCTTCACCGCGCTGCGTATAAACTCAAAACTGAGACTCTGAGGCCTCGTCTGACAGGTCGACTCTGGCTGGGTAAACTCTCACAGCTGTATTAAACCTTAGAAAGGAAGTACTGTGAAGCTGAAGTCGCGATATCTCACGTTATCCAGGAGGTCGTACAGAAAAGGGAATGTTCTCTCACCTATAAATGTCCCAGACAGCTACAGGCAGGTTGAGGAGGAAGATGAACCAGTGCATGGAGACCAGCATCAGCATGGTGGAGAGACACTGACCCACCATCTCTGGAATCACCCACTGACAACAAACAAAACACACACACAAAAACACACAAGCCATGTTCAAATTTGCACAAAAAGAAAAGTTCCTGAAAATTTCACGGTGAGCTGCATGTGTGAACGTAAACAGCTGATTTTAATCAGTCTGGTTCTACTCAGACTTTATTCCTGCCAGTCAATTAGTTAATTAAGAGCCGATGTGTGAAAGCACCATGAAAGATTAAGGGGGGGGGGGTGACGATGACGAGCACAGGACTGAAACGATCTTCGTACATGTCATAAAACCGCTTCAGTAATGTTAGGTGGGGGTTGTTTCTGTTTGTATAAATCCAATGAAGAAATCGTGAAACAGACTGGAGATCATAACACCGTTTAATCGGTCGAGGTCAGACAACTTCATCAAACAAGCACGCTTCCAAATCACTTGACGGACAAAGTGCTGACAAAGTAACAGTGTTCACAGTGCTGCTTATATTCTGTCAAAAAGGGGCAACCCACAAATTCCTTTCTATTTGGGTACATCACCATAAAACAATAAAGATGACATGACACTGATTTGTATACGTAACAGATGTAGACTCTCTGTCTAGCAAACAGTTGCTGATAACATATGGTTGGCTCCTATCCAAACATAGATCTGCTAATACTTAGGTGCTTCACCCATATAAGGTTACAGCTTCAGACACCTAAAGGTAGGAGTGTTAACAGGTGGTAGGCAGACTTGAATAATACATTTCACGAAGTTACCAAGATTAATGAATTTCATGAAAATTCGTACTAACAAGTATGTTTTTCTATTCACCAGTTTGTTTGTCTCCAGTCTTTCATTGATACTGTTAAAACATCAAACTTCACATAGTGTTGATATGAAGGCTAAAAACTGTCATCATGGTGTTGGACTCTTTTTACATCATATCCTGCTTACTGAGACCCCCCCCCCACACACACACACACACACACACACACATCTTGTCTGACACAGAAAACTTCACACTGTGAGGGTCATGTGTGAACAAGCAACTCAGAAATATTTCAGAGGCAGCCTGCCTGAAATCATCCAGGAAATCTCAGGAGCGCATGTGTGCAAAAAAACAGTAACACACAAAACTGGATCAGATAGATAACAGTTAGAAACGTGGTGTCTCCATAGCAACCATGAAAAAAAGACACTCAGGAATCTGCTTCAGACTCCAGGGTAAGAAACCTGACACGCAACATTACGATCAAACGCAAAACTGTATAAACATTTCCTCCACAGATCAGGAATGAGGTGACTCACTTTGTTGAGTTTGGAGCAGCATGCTCGGGCGTTGATGTAATCGCACTCCAAATCAGACAGAGTGATGATCTGAGCTCAGAGTCAAGGACACACACAGTACACACACACAGTGTACACACACACACACGCCGCCTGCTTCCACTTCTATCAGCTTATCATTTATAAATAACTCAGTAAATAATATCAGTGTAAGGCCATGCAACCGATTCTTTACCCACAATAACCCCGTTGAGTTTTGTAAATGTATTTTTAAGGAGCTCTTTTCACCGTTCAGCAGATCAGTTACAGCTTTCAGATTAATTATCACCATAGTGGTGAAAGGGAACTCGTAAACATTACAGAGAACATTGAAATGTACCACAGCTTTTTTTCCAGTCATATTTTTTCCTTATTGTTTTTTTTTTGACTTCGTCTGAGCAGAGGTCATTTGATCCGTCCAATAACAGAGCTCAGTTTAATTGTGGTATCTATCTATTTTTTATTTAAATTAGACTTTGTCTGCAATCTTTGCTCTTTGCTGCTGTAACAATGTTGTAGGATAAATAAAGGATTATCTTATTTTACGACCTCACGCTGCAGTTTCTGATTTCACCACTAGATGTCACTTTTATTTTAACACTAGCTGTAGATTATTAAAATGTGTCTCAAACACGTCAGTTTATCTTTTACATTCAGGAGTTACACCTTTTTTCATTATCTTAATTATACTATATTTTTTAATTATTTATTTGTTTATTTTAAACTATAGAAGAAGTTACTTTCTCTTTCTCTGAACTATTCACGAGAATAAAACCCTAAAAAACGGACACTAAAACTACTCAAATTCCGCATTTTGTTTAAATAAAAACTAAATTAACAAACCAGCTTCAAACAAATATTAAAAACAAAAATCAAAGTGAAATAAAAACAAAAACTAAATTAAAAAACCTCCCAGACCACAACAACCCAGCAGTGTGCAGGACTTTCTCTGCCACATTTTGCGAAACTACCAAATGTTGGTTGCCATGGAGGTCCAGTTCTGTTGCCATGGAGTTCTAGTTCTGTTGCCATGGTAACAATCGAACGTTCGATTTGAACTGGAAACGAGTTTAAAAAGTGATCAGTTTGTTTCTGAGCTTCTCCTGCTGACTGACACGTCCATGTGGTGTTTAATCTCTTTTATTTAACATCTTTAGATTATTCACTTGTGTTTTAATCTATTTAATCTATTTAATCTATTTAATATGTTTAACGCAGCAGAGCATTTTAATCTTCATCTTCCTCCCTCAGCCTCCCCCCTGCCTCCTCTCGGCTAACCGGGCTAGCTAACGTTAACTCCGCGTTACTGAAATGTTCGTTAATCTGAAACAATAAAGAATAAATAAGAGCTCAAAGTCAGGCTTCCGGCTCGGTTAACAACATGAACATAAATCCCAAACCAGAAGAGAAGGATACAAAGTAGACCGAGAGGAAAATCAGTGCACAGCAGTCCACTAGCGACAGGATGAACACTGCCGCCTCCATTTTCTTCTTCCGTGTCTTTCACTTCCGGTCTCTGCGTCATCATTGCGTCACTCACTGATACTTATCTACAGGACTGCCACCTGACGGAGTGGAGGGGAACTGCGACTGTTGTAATTATATACGCCTGTTAAAATGTAACTGAAGTAACTATTATATATATATAAATATATATATATATGTATATATAGATAACATTTAAAATGTATAGACCCCGCCCCCCGCATCTATATCTATTTATGTATCCCTTTATCTTTTTAATATATTTTTTTTATATTATTATTTAAATCGCACCTTTAATGTTTGCACTGACTGTTATTTAAAGTCTGTTTTTTGATAATTTTATTTTTTTTAAACATTGCTAAACAATTTTGATTCATCTAGGGGTATTCTTAAATATCTTTTCAGGTTAATATATATGTATGGGGAGGGGGAGCGTCGGTTTTGTGATTTAATTTGTAACAAATGTTTCATGTCATGTACGTGTTTGTAACCTGCTACTGGATGCTTTGAATTTCCCTCGGGATCAATAAAGTATCTATCTATCTATCTATCTATCTATCTCTCTCTCTATCTATCTCTCTATTTTTTACACTGGTGTCCTTCATGTTTTCATCAGTCTATGGTTTTCATATATAATTAATTCCTCACACCAAGTAGCTCTAAGGCTCAGTCGTCTGCAGGGACTTGGAAACCGAAGGGTCACCAGTTCAAGTTCCGATGCAGACCAAAATATAGAGGCCCTTCCTGAGAACTGCAGAGGTGCCCTCGAGCAAGGCATCAAACCAGTCCTGTGTAGTAGATCCACTCTGACATCTCTCCATAAGTGCAGGTACACAGGTTTGTGCATGTGTGTAATGTAGTAATTAATTCTAAATTAATTAATTAAATTCAGGCTCATCTGTGTGAAAACCTGTCTCGCAATATCAGAATGTAAAACCAGAATTTCCCCTCTGGTATTACTGTTTTTCTCAGTCACTTTGGTACATTTCTCAGATCAGAATTGAAATTCTCAAAACTACTTTCAATCTTCACATCATTGTGTCACTTGTGCACATCAAAAAAAGCAGTTTCTAATTTCTTTGAACAAGTTGCAAATGCTTTGGTACATCCATGCAAATGATTATGTACAATTCTCTGCTGTTTCCTACATTATCAATGGCTTATGTCATGTTGATCAAAATGTATTATAATGGGTCTCTGTTGAATAGTCTCACCCCCCACAACATTTAGGCATTAGTTCATCACACAAGTCTTTACATGCAAAATGGTTGAACAAGGTGTCATAATAAGTCAAGCATATTTCTATACATTTCCATTAGACTTTTTTTCTAAATCTGTCCTGAATTGATGAATTGCTCCCAGGTGAATCTTGACTTTCTCTAACGAAGGGAAATGTGTGAAGCATTAGATCAACCAATGATCAACCAGTTTTCTGAAATAGCTCAAAGATGCATCTCATGAACCATCAACTGGCAAGTATATATATAGCCGGAGCGCAACACAATGTTACAATGTCTGACAATGGAAGGACAAGGAATTGGACGGGGTCAACAGCCAGAGAGAAGAAGAAGAAGAAGAAGAAGAGGAGTGAGGCTGCGTGGCGGAGGAGCTGGGAGGCAAAACAGAGGAAGAGGCAGAAGAGGCCGAGGACAAATGCGTGTTCCTGATGAGATAAGAGCCACACTTGTAGACCACGTTCTCAATCATGGGCTTACAATGGCCGAGGCTGGTCGAAGGGTGCAGCCAAATGTTGGGAGAACAACTGGAAACACTGGAAAGTATATGATCGCCAGCCACATACACAGATGACCCTTCTGGCTGCCATGGATGCAGCGTGTGATGACATCACAGCAGATGCCTGCAGAGGCTGGATAAGACACTCTAAAAGATTCTTTCCACGCTGCATCGCAAGAGAAGATATTCGTTGAGATGTGGATGAGAATTTGTGGCCCAACAGACAGGAACGTCAGGAGGTGTAGGAAGACTGCTCTGTAATTCCTACAGCACTGCATGTACAGTTTTCCCAAAGGAGATTGTCCTATGTTCACATTTCTACTTTTCTTTTTTTCTTTGTGCTATGCAGTGCTGTCTTTTCCTTTATGTATCGCAATGAGATGGTCTGTCAACAAATTACAGCACAAACAGTAAAAGCGTAAATGTGAATCTTGTCCAGTCTCTTGCAATCAATCTCCCACATACACTAAGGTGTAACTTACAATTTACAATCATTGTCATCAGAACTTTAGCCATAGTTTATATCAGAACAGCCCTCCAGAGTCCACTGTTATATTGACAACATGACTTAGTAATTTGACTGTCTTATCCGAACACAATGACATAAGGACTTGTCATTCTGATGGCACTGACATGTTCATTGACACAGATATTTACTTTTGAGAGATGAGCTAAGGATTTTGAGCAAGAGACTGGCTTTTGCAGGTAATCCATGGTGTTTTGCTATTTGTATGAATTGTTTTGAGAAATGCACTTACTGTTTTGCAAATGTCGAGGATGATTCGAGAAATTTATTACTGAGAAAAACTGTAATAAAGTATTTTTAAAAAACCCCTTGAGGGAAAACATAATTTATGAACAGAACATTTTAATATATGCTTCATTTGGTGTTATTCATGACTGCATATCAAAATCTATGTAATATCCTTTCATGCCAATCTTGCAATAAAAAAAAAAAAAAGATATGCATCACGCTAGCCAATCAGAATCAAGCAGCCGGGATACATCATACAGTTGCTGTACCAGTGAAAACTAACGACCTGCCTCCTCTCAATATGGGAAAATATGCCTCGAGATAAGTTGTGTATATATCGTACAAGGAGTTTAATACATTTTGAAAGAGGGGGGTCCCTGCCAGAGGCCAATGCTATTTGGGGGTCCTGGCATGGCAGAGTTTGAGAATCCCTGCGTTTAAGTTTATTTAGTACAACATTAAATGAATAAAAAACACTGTCACTGCTCACAGTGTCGGTAAATAACAATATAAGGAATACACTCTATATCTGCTTTATTTGTAAAATATCCTAAGAAACATTTTGTTGTAATTTAAAACTTCATACAATGTAAGAAAAACATGTTCATTATAAATCATTTAGCAGACCATTTGACTGGAACTCATATCCTCGTCCATAATGAATATCATCAGTCCTCCAACTACGATCATTAAACAGTTTAATCTAACATTAAACATGTTGACTTCAGCTGTGATGATAATTATATTTATTGTCGTTGCTATAAAAACAGTTCAGCAGCTCTTGGCAGCACATTCAGACAGACAGGAATGATAGGTAAACATTAAAAGCAAAAAAACACTGAAGTATAAAAAGAAAAAGCTCTAGATAATACACATTCATTACCTTTCTGTTCCTGTTCATATTACTCGTACTTTTACCATTATCGTTGCCTCTGATGAGTCTGTATCAGCTGTTTTTTTTCACTCTCAGCTGTTCAGCGTGAGTCTGTCAAAGAAGTTCTCTTCATGCCGTTTTTTAAATTTTCCTTGGGATCAAAAAAGTATCTATCTATCTATTATCTGTCGCTTTGCTCAGTGTTAAAGTTCTGTGCTCAGAGTGGATCATGTTGGGTCTTTAAAGAGTCTTAAAGAGTCTACACCTGCTCTTTATTTAAAGTGTCTCAAGATATTTAATATGAATTTGCGCTGTACAAATAAAGACTCTTTACTGAAGTCTCCACAGAGAAATCTCCAGTCATGCAGCTGCAGACTTTATGAAGTGTATAAACCTTTCATCAAAACAAGCTATGTTTAACGTGTATTGAGCGTGACAAAGAACGAGATCTTTATCAGAAACATTTACCCAACAGAGACAGCTTTTCATTCACCCACACACTCTCACACACACGAGGGGAATTCTGTTTTAACACTCACAAACAGGATCTGTGAACATGCATTAGTGGAGAGATGTCAGAGTGGGAGCACGGCAGAGCTGGACAAGTATCCCAAAAACAAAAAATCAAAAACTATCATAACCCCAGTAAAGGTAGACACACACACACACACACACACACACACACACACACACACACACACACACACTCAAATATATTTTCCTGGAATTGCCAGGTGAAAAGATGAATGTAGAAACATTCGGTGTCAAAGTGATTATTGAGTGATTATACAGGTCAGTTCTGTACTCGTGTTTAACACTATGAACTAATTACCTCTTCTGTTGTGTCAAACATTAATGCACAACCTGTTCAGATGATTATATCTGATACATTAAGACTTTGATTGCCTCCATTAACACATTTCTTCATATTTAATTTACCTGCATAGAAGTGAAGTGTCAATAATGACCTGATAAAAGATTTTAAATCCTCTTCATTATGAGCTGTGTTTGTGTGTATGTCAGGGTGTGGTTCACAGCACCTGAAGATGAGCTGTGCCTCCGTCATATCTGCCAAACAATCCAAACATCTTTATGACACGCAGAGAGCTGCTGCTGCAGGAGGAGGAGGAGGTGACTCACCCCGGCTGTCAGTCATGACGACTGCAGGGGAGAATATGAGAATAGTCAACTCTGAAGGAGGAAGCAAGAGGGACTTTTCTTTTGAGCACGCTGAGCATGCTTATTAGGGCGAGTATCGGTGTGCTGGAGGTGAACGAGAGAGAGGACGCAGAGTAGACAGGAGAGCGAGAGAGAGAGAGAGTGAAGACAGACAGACAGAGGACATGGCCCGGCATGCTCTTTTAACATGTTTGCACATCTCTCTTTTCCTCTTCATGCGTGTTTCTGCAGATGGAACCCAAGTGGAGAGCGCGACGGCCCCGGGGGATTTCATCATCGGGGGAATCTTCCCTCTTCATGAAGATGTGGACAGACAGAACGTTACCTTTGAACCCCACCTGCTGCCATGTATCAGGTGAGATGAACTGAGGGATACGTCCATGCTTTTTCCTTCTTCTTCTTCTTTTTTTTTTATCGCTCACTGTTTATCTTTATCCCTTCTGTGGATGCAGAAATCCAAACTCCCTGAACTTTTCCTTAAAGCTTTAAGAGACAAAAAAAAAAGAAAAATGTTAAGAGGTTTGATCCTGTGCGGTGAAACAACTTGATGGAAAAATTAAGTTGCTCAAATTAATTTAAATGTATTGCCTTTGAAAATAGTCACTGTGGCTTTTGCATCATTGATAAGCATCATGCATCATTTGCATCATTTTTGCATCATTAACAGGAAGTCACATGTTTGATATAAACACATCTTATGTAACTCACAATTATTATTGCCTAATTGCTGAATGAAACCTATTTTATGCTGCGTACATTTCATCACAAAATAAACAGTGATATCATGTTGTTTGCCCCAGGTAATTAAGTAGTGACCAAGCAGAGCGATAAGAGGGCTCTGGCTCACGCTCATTAGGGCAAATAAAGGGCACAAGAAGTGTTGGGTTTATACACTGGACGGAGGTGTAAATATGTGATTTGGAGATGGGATGCTGGACACACACAGAGAGACTGTCTCATGTGGACAGAAGTCTCCGCTTAAAGGCTTTAAAAGGCCAAAAGAATGACAGAACTGAGCAATGAAGAGCAGCATTTTAATATGGCTCATAAATAAAATGCACAAACATATATCAAACTATTGCAGGGTACTTTATCGATCACACTTAGGGGTTCTATTTCAAGATATATTGTGGGAAAACAGGCAAGAGTGGATTTTGAAAATAGCCAAATCTAGACTTCCACTTCCTAAATATGAAACATAATACCTCATTTCGTTACTCTATACTTGTATATGTGTAATGACAATAAAGTTGAATCTCATCTCATAATATTCCCTCCATCCATTGACTGTCTATTCCGCTTATCCCGTCTGTTTGTCTGTGGTCGGCGAATGGAGCCGAACCCATCGAGGTGCACAGCGAGGAAAAAGCTGCCACGCTTTATTTAATTTTTTTATCATTTTTTTTATTTTCTTTAATTTATTTATTTATTTTATTTATTTATTTTATTTCTCTACTACACTGTGGTATTTAAATGTTTAATACCATTATTGCTATCATTATTATTTGTCCTTTCATTTTTTGTTAATTCGAGCTGCCTATATACTTTAAAAAAAAAAAATGTTTAGACTTACTGTAAATGCTTCTATGTATATTTAAAATATAAGACCCATGGGAGGGGGGCAGGGGAAGGGAGGGCAGGGGGGCTATGAAAACTCCAGGTTTGCAGGGTTGTGTTGTCATCCTCTTCTTTTTTTCGACAGGGATGGTAAAGCTGTGAGGTGGCAGAGCTTACTGTACTGTGCGGCCCAATTCAAAGTGTTTTAATACTTCAGTCCCGTTCAGTCAGAACACTCAGATTAACTTTTTTTTTTTAAATGTATGATGCAGCAGCAGAACAAAGTTTGGCATCCATAGACTCTGACCTCATCGCTCCTCCATGTTTTACTTTGGATGCAGAAATCTGAGGAGAGTTGGGATGATCTTAAACCCCCCAGTCGGAGTCTTACAGGTGGATGCTGGGGCGGGAAATTAACGTTTCAAGCAGATTAGACTACAAACAAACTGTTAACATAACATCAATTATAGCATGACAGATAATGAGCAATCATTATTAACTATCATTTATTGTTTGTTAACAGTCAAATAACTATTAATTAAAGGTTAATTAACAATCTATTTACCCTTTATAGATGATGGATATTAAAAAGTGTTATCGCTTCCTCTCATGCAGATAACTGTATCGGATAAGACTTACTTAGTCCAGATCAAACTGAACACTGATAACCAGTTTACTGAAAACCAAATCAATCACTGACATTGTGTGTGGACGATATCATTCTGAGCATCAGTGTTGGATCAGATCTCGTTAGTCATTTTACAGTTGCCAGTTAGTCAAGGATGAATGATAACAGTTATCTTGATTACACTTCCTGTTCAGTCAACTGATTATTCTTTACGGGTAAAACTGGGACTTCAGACACACATAAGGAGTTACAGATGCCTGAATGTGTTCGGACTCTTTCACTTTGCATCGTGGGGGGTTTTCCTGCATGCAACCAAAACAAACCGGACTGATCATTCCTACCTTAGGGAAAATAAATCTTCTGAACACCACATTTCTTGTCCCTTCGTACACAGAGTCTGCATTAAACTAAATCTGTTTATAGAGATGACAACACACTGAAAACACAACAACGTCTTTGATAGCTGGTAGATCAGGTTTCTCTGGATGCCCTGTGCCTGAAATGACATAAAAAGCGCCATCTCTTTACCGTGGAAATAGATTCTCAGAAGATCAGCAGAGGCGTGGCTCCCTGTGTGACCTTGCGGGACTGGTCTCATCAAATAGAGAGGCGTTTTTGTGCCTTTATTGTAGGACACACACACACACACACACACGCACACGCACACACACACACACACACACACCTCCAGGCATGCAGTAACCCTAACATGTGAAATATAAGTTTGGGACACAGTTAAAACATTAATATATATGGTGTTGTTTTGTAAGTGTTGTCTTGCAATAATTCTGAAAAAAATGGAAAAAGAAGATCCGCAGAGGTGGAAGAAGGAGAACACCTGCAAGTGTGAACACTGACTTCCTCCGTATGCATGCATCGATTAGATGACATGACCACAAACAGCGTGCACACAAAGTAACAAAACGTCATAATCAATACCATCATGTCGATTCTCAAAGGATCAACAGTGTCTTTCACTCTAAAGCCTGAGCACCGAACCCTTAAAGGAGCTAACTGGTTTGATCAATGATTGGCAATAAGTAGAAAATGTCTTCCTTGGATCTACATGACGACTTTTTAAGATGCACTTTTTTAGCAGAATCTATTTCTGATTGCATTATAAGAGATAACAGAAAGCATGCTGATGACTCTGGGCTGTTCACACAGGTTTAAAGAAAGGCGACTGGTGAAATTGCTGGGTATGATCAACGCCATAGAGACGGTGAATAGATCTCCTCCGCTGACCGATGTCAACATCACGTTGGGCTACCGCATCCTGGACTCGTGTTCTGATGTGGACACGGCTGTGAGAGCCATGGCGGACTTCATGCAGTCCAACTGCAGCTCGTCCGCCGGTGTGCAGCCAGTCACTGCTGTCATAGGGGCGTCGCACTCTGAGACGTCGATCGCCATGGCGCGGCAGCTGACCCTGAAGATGATTCCTCAAGTGAGTACAAAGAACCAGGAAAAATACTTTTATGGGTAAAGGAGGCAGTCTAACTATAACTGTGCCATAAGTAATGGGTAAGAATGCAGCAGAGCAGGTTTTAAACTGGCACGAGAAAAGTAGAAGAATAAGAATCTATTTTCCGCTAAAGTATGAACAGCATTCCACAGAAGGGATTAAATATCAAGGTTGGTGTGTAGGTGTGGCGGTGTGGCACAGATGAGCAGGAAAATATACAACAGCATCCTCTCTGAAAACAGAAGGAAATAGACCGTCTGCCAAATCTATTGTCTTCCTCTTGGCACCAATTGACAATCTGTGCAGGTGTTGTCTTATATCCAAACAGCTTATGACGTTCATTAGAAGTTATAAAAGAGAGAAGCATCAACCACCTCAGGACACAATCAAGTTCATTTACGTGCAGCAATATTCAGAAACTGTGCAAATTCAAAAGAGCAAAACGTTCAAAGCAAATGCAGCTGAAACACGCTGCATTACACATAGCATTGATATAAAGACAAATATTCTCATTATAGCGTCGTGTAGCGGACTCTGTTGCTACGGCCGCTACGGCCGCTACTTCCACGTTGTTTATTTACGTCACGTCTTACCTCAGGAAATCCCCCTGAGCCCCCTCCCCTCTGACAGGGAAAGTCCCCCGCTGTGAGGAGCATATGTGAACGACTAGGTTGGGAGGGGGCGTGGTCAGACACAGCTCATTTACATATTTAAAGTTACAGACACAGAAACAGCCTGTTCTGAGCAGGGCTGAAATAGAGGGGTTTATAGACATGATCAAATACAGGATCAGAGTGGATTTAGAACAAGAAACTTCACACACATGTTTTGAGGAGCTCTGAGACTTATTTAAACTGAAGGAGAGGAGGAGAATATGTGACCTTTAAATGTTTAGAAGTTGGCCTTTCAATTTGTGAAAACTTAAATGAAAGCTTTCTCGAGCCGGGTTGGTTGCCCAACTTGCAGAGTTACGGTCACAATGCTGGATGACTGTAAATGTAGGCCTCGTGGACAAACAATTTCATGGGTTCAGAAAATACAGTTTGACAGTCTGACAATTTTTCACTCAAACCATATTTATGTCTGTGATACCAAGTGATAATCTCTGGGTTTTGGTTTTGGGTTTTTTCATGGTTTGGTTCATATTTGAGCCTAAATTACATATCTTAATGATAAAAACATTCTCGTCTCCAGATCAGTTATTCCTCCACTGCTGTCATTCTGAGTGATAAGAACCGCTACCCTGCCTTCATGAGGACCGTCCCCAATGATGAGCACCAGACCGCTGCCATGGCCAGTCTGCTCAGCGACTTTGGCTGGAACTGGGTGGGAATAGTTACCACAGATGGAAACTACGGCCAATCGGCTCTCGACCACTTTGTTTCCCAGGCGTCTCTGAAGGGAATCTGTGTGGCCTTTAAATCCGTCCTACCTCAATCCGTTACCAGTCAGCGCATCCCGACTGTTATCAGGCATACCGCCGAAACCATCCTAAAGAATCCCAAGGTGCAGGTGATCGTGTCGTTCGCCAAGCCCGCCCACATGACGGACCTGTTCCTGGAGCTTCACAGGAGAGCAGGACAGCGCATGGAGTTGATGAAAAGAGTGTGGGTGGCCAGTGACAGCTGGTCCACCTCAGACGCTCTGAAAGACAACCTAGCTCTGTCGGACATCGGACATGTTGTGGGCTTCACCTTCAAAAGTGACGACTTGTCCTCGTTCAACGAGTACCTGAGCAGGCTGGTGGCGGCTGGACCCAAGTCCGTGAAGAACAACCCCTTCGTCCAAGAGTTCTACATGTCGCTGAATTCCAGCAAAGGTTCTAGAGACTCTGAGCTGATGGCGGAAGCCGCGGCCAAACTGAAAGAACACGCCTATGCTGACACCATCTTCGGCGTGGAGACGGCTGTGAGCGCCATCGCTCAGGCTGTGGCGTCAATCTGCCGGAACAGTGACTGCAAAACACCGGGCGCAGTGAAACCCTGGCAGGTATGAACTTACTGACGGTGTGTGTCTGCTGTTGTGTAGAACTTATTAGGGCCATGTGGGTTCTTTTTTACGAGTAAGGGAAGGGTGTTGAGTTACAGGCAGGAAGCTTAAGGTCAGATTCAGGAATAAACGTGATACCTCACGAAACACGGGATTGAATAGATTCACTGCCTCTTTCCTACATCGATGGAGCTGCTGAAAAAGAGTGTTTTCCCCCTGCAAAACCTGTTCCTATCACAAGATATAAACACAGGTGAATTAAAGAGTCTGTTCTTGTAAAGACTCCATAAAAGAAGAGGGGGCGTCTTGTAGAGAAACATGGCTGTAAGGTCAAACAGAGGTTTCTTCAAGGACGTTTTCAAGGTCAAAATCTAAACCAAGACTCAGAGGAGTTATGAAAACAGCATGCATATTTGTGAAACCTATTACACAATATGTAACAACAATATGTAGAACTTTGGTTTGGTGCGCTTTGGCGACCACCAAAGGTCTCTGAGTGAAACTGCACTGTCGTGACACGCGTTGTGCTGTTACGCCTCCCCCCCACTCTTAGACAACACACATTTGTTGACAAGCAGAGGGTGGCGAGCCAACAAGACGTTGTTGTGAGAAGCTGAACAACTATGTCGACTAAAACGGGTTCAATTTTATTAAAGGCTTTATATGCGATTTTTTGATCCAGCAGATGTCGCCTTTGAGCTCCAGCATGAAACCAAAACAACTCGCGCTGCATTGTTGTGTTAGCATGCTAATGCTAGCGATCTTTATTATGCTGGTATCTTCACACTGCATGTAAATTTACCTGAAATGAGCGTGATCTAGAAACACAGTTAAGCAGTGAGTACAGTATGTTATTCTTCTTTTCTCTAGTCCCTCAATTAAACAACTTTTATACACGAGGGGAGGAGTCAGCCGGCCGTCCTGGCGATGTAAACAAACTGAAGATAGGACTCTGAAAACTCGGAAAACATCACAGACAGTGGAGCCCATTGTTAGCAAACTGTAGGCAAACTGTTAGCATGTAACCATGATGTCTACAGGCCGAGGCTAAATTGCTGCATTGGAGAGGGCGAGTTATCATATGCTAGTTGAGATCGGTTTGTAAGGTTCCTAAATTATAAAACTAACTTAAAGATCAATGAGTAAACAGACAACTATCTGGCGTAAGGATGGATTTATTAATTCATTTGAAAAGAAGCCTGAGACTTAACTCGGGTGAGACGACTTTCTGCACCCGGTAAAGCTGCAAAACATGAGACGACGATTACACAAACGATACAGCCTTATGTTATATCACAATCTGTCATGAATGATATCTGCAGGGACGTTCACTCTGCTTCTTGCTCGGTCACTCTCTTGTTTCCTCTTCTTAGCTTCATCCGTCCTCTTCCTCCTCGCCTCAGCCGTTGTATCAAACAGTCTAAAGACGGCTGACGGGCTTCTTTTTCAAACTGAAGGCTGTTGTGTGCCGTAAAGTCAGACACACTTCTCAGGAGATATCCACGGCTTGCTGTAAAAAAAAAACAAAGAGCCAGATCAACAAAGAGATTACGCAACCTACCTCTAAAGCTCTGCAACTGAAAAAAAACGTTTTCATGCAATCCACAAAGAATGTGCAGAGGGTGACTCATCATCTGTGAGTACAACACAGAGTCATCAGCAAACTTGATTAAGACATATTATGACATTGACAAACAGGCGATCTGGCAACGCTTTGGACATGAGAGGGACGCCATGTTTCCCCTGTTGATAGTTATTGCACTATTAAATCAACCTTAGAAACAACTATTTAGAGGTGGAACAGTTACACATTGTTGCTCTAAGATCTTCTTTTTAGTAACTTCCAGTCGTTTCTTTCCGATCTGTGTAACGTCCTCCCTCCAGAGGAACAGCTGTGTGTGCCTGGTGCGTGCATTGAATCAATCCTGCAAGCCAAAACGGACATCCTTATTTGTTTATAATAATTGCCCCTTTGTGTGTTCATCATTTACGAGATAATTTATTGACATCAGAACACTGAGCTCTTATAACATCTTTACTGATCGTCTTTTCAAGAATATTCATACCACCAAAAAAAGTATTTCTGAGATGTATATGTTAACCCTGGTGAAGTAAACGTGTGGTGATGTGCAGGTGCTGAAAGCTCTGAGGATGAAGGAGTTCCAACTTCGCGGAAAGACCTACAAGTTTGACAGCAAAGGAGACATCGACCTGGGCTACAATGTGATCAAGTGGAGATCAGTGAGGAAAGGATACATTGAAGTCCATAACGTGGTATCTGAGTACCACCTGCACAACAACAGCTTCACCAACACCGGCCAACATCTGTACAACCTGACGGTAGACCCGCATTCCTGTGTTTTCATGCACATAAACATACTGCACTGTGTGTTTACCCAAAACACTCAGACCTACTAAACCTGAAGTGATCATGAAAATATAGATTCAGACGTACGGTAGATTCAGTAGAAGTCTTAAGTTGTGTTAAAAAACAATAAATGTTTAATTTGGAGAAATACATGACACTTAACTATAATTGTGTCCCTCCCTGCTTCCCTTAGCACATCGTCTCAAAATGCTCGAACAGCTGCATGCCTGGAGAGTTCAAGAAAACAGCCGAGGGTCAACACACCTGTTGTTATGAGTGCATTAACTGCACCGAGAACTACTACTCCAATGACACAGGCAAGACACGCTCCACATACACACAGGAATCACAGACAGGCAACACTGACTCCCAGCCAGAGTCTGAGTCAGCTCGAAATGTGGTCACAATGAAGCTGCAATGACAAAGCGTTCACAATCTGAAATAACAGAAATGGAAAGTCCCTCTTAAGGCCGTGCAGCTCACTCTACCAGCAACAATGTAAACCCAGGAAATAAGAGTCTCTTTGTGTTTGTGATGTCACTATCGACTGTATTGAAGAAGTGGGTATAGACCACCACACTGTGAAGCCCACGCCTCCATCCTAATGAGTTTATAGTCTCAAGCTCTAGTTTCAAGTCTTCTTCAATGCAGCATGATGTTCATTTTGTAAATTATCGTCCCATTTAGACTCAAATTGACCAAAAGGCTTAAGGGCGGGGGCTTCCTGTGACTGACAAGTCACTACCACAGAGACCTGAAATAGTGTCCAGATGTACTAAAAGACAGTCTGAGGCAGTCGTTCCTTTTTTAAAGAGGACATATTATCCCTCCTTCTCCACCTTTTCAAACAGTCCCCTGTGGTCTAAATGAAACATCTGTGCTGTGCTTTGATCAAAATATAACATGAATCACCAGAGGAGGTTTGTGACCCTGTATAAACGAGCTCTCTCAGAACGCTCCGTTTTGGTGTGTGTGTCTCTTTAAATCCAATGACCCCCCCCCTGAGTTTTCCCCGTAGACATCACTCCTCTGTAGAGAGAATAAAAATGGCGGACATGCGCAAACGTTTTGTTCTAGGCTGGGGGTGGAGTCCATGGGTGGAGATATCAGGGGAGGGGAGGGGATTTTGTTAACCAGAATCCCACTGTGACATCACAAGGAGAGCAAATTTAAAACAGAGCATTTTTCTCTGTGTTGTAAGACTTATGTAGACCACAAACAAAGGACTGGATGTGTTTATTTCACATTTTGTGGGTCAGTAGACTCTCAGGTTACCCAAATATATGTTCAAAAACACTGTACAAGTGGATTTTTCATAATATGTCCCCTTTAAAAAAGTACATTTTGTTTAAAGGCAAAGCTAGCTCTCATGACTTATAGGTGCACCTCCTCACTGACCAAACTTGTGTAGTCTTCAGCTCCACCTTTTTAAAAATGTCCCTCATGAATCCAAAGAAAATAAATATGAGGATGCCAATTCCCTAAAGTTTACGTAGTCTAGTCCACAAACCAATAGATGACATTGTAGTGGCTAAATCCAATTGTTTCTGGGTTTCAGCGGCTTTTCAAACATCCATGTCTATTAGGCAGATTTTTAGAAACTGTCTGATTAAATATTAGAGTTTCATTTGAATAGCTTTTTATTAATGACACAAACACAGTGTTGTGCTCTGTTCTCCTATTGAGGGGATGAATGTTGTAAACACAAACCAAACAACCTGAGTAGAATCTCACAGTTATTTTTCCTGTTGCATTATAACTGCATTGAACCAAACGCTCTCTCTCCCTCTCTCTCTCTCTCTCTCTCGCTCTCTCTCTCTCTTGCTTGCAGAGTTAGATCTTTGTGATACAGCTTGTCTGATGCTTGTGCTTCGTCCTCCTCGCAGATATGGACCAATGTCTGAGCTGCGATGTGCACACAGAGTGGTCTCATCAGGGCAGCTCCAGCTGCAACCGCAAAGCCCTGCTCTTCTTCTCCTGGCACGATGGCTTCGCTATCGTCCTCGTGGCGTTCTCTGTGCTCGGCATCGTCCTCACTCTGTTGGTCTCTGCTCTCTTTCTGCATCAGCGGGAAACGCCGGTAGTGAAGGCTTCTGGGGGACCGCTGAGCCAGGTCATCCTGTTCTCTCTGGTCATCAGCTACATCAGTGCCATGATGTTTGTGGGCCAGCCCAACAGCTACCAGTGTAAAGTGCGGCAGGTGCTGTTCGGCATCAGCTTCACTCTGTGCGTGTCGTGCATCCTGGTGAAGACCCTGCAGATCCTGCTGGCCTTCCAGTTGAACCCTGAGCTGCAGCTGGTTCTGAGGAGGCTCTACCAGCCGTATGTCATCGTTAGCATCTGCGTGTCCTTACAGGTAGCCACATGCATCGCCTGGCTCGTCCTCAAAAGCCCTTCGAACTTGACCATCAGACTTCCGACCACTCTGCTGGAGTACTGTCATGAAGGCTCGTACCTAGCCTTCGGGGTGATGTTGGGCTACATCGCCGTCTTGGCTTTGGTTTGCTTCATTTGCGCCTTCAAAGGACGCAAGCTGCCCCAGCACTACAACGAGGCCAAGTTCATCACCTTCAGCATGCTCCTCTACCTCATCTCCTGGATGCTCTTCGTCCCCGTCTACGTCACCACCTCGGGAGTGTACCTGCCGGCCGTGGAGATGGTGGTCATCCTCATCTCCAACTACGGTATCCTCAGCTGTCACTTCTTCCCGAAATGCTACGTAATGCTTTTCAAAAAGGAGCAAAACACCAAGAATGCTTTCAGAAAGAATCTGTACGAATTCTCCAGCAAAACCAAAGATTCAAAATCTGAGTCTGGAGGGTCAGAGAAACAATCCTCCTGCGGTATAAGCTCCATCGTCAGCATTTCGTCCCTCTCTTCACCGACAGCTGATCCTAAAAGTCCTGTGGATTCGATGGACTGGGAAGACTGGACGAGCACCACCAGTTTATACCGAGGCTCGACCAAAAGACGCTGCCTCAGGAGAAGCACTAGCTTATAAACTAAGATGTGTTCTCCTGAGCAGTCAAAAATCATTCACATAAAACTTGATCTTGAATTAAAAGATGGAAGGAGGAACTGTCTTAAAACTGTACAAACGACTGTGTCATTCCTTCTCTCGTGACACATCTATGCTAGCACACTGGAAGAAAGATCTGAGTGTGTACAGATCGGTGGAACTCAATACTGACTCGTTCAAGTCACCTTCAAAAGATACAAAATAATCCAGATGACGGTTATGTGGCGGTCATATTTCACCCCACACAAATTGAAGAAAATGAACAGTAATGTTTCTGATCACGTCTGGTTGGACAGTTAGATGTTGGTGTTTATCACCCTGGAGGTTATTACGGAAATGAAGTTTTGTAGTCAAGACCACACCAACCGAGACCAAGACATACCCGAGACCAGAGTGCTCAGAGACCAAGACCAAGACCAAGACCGAGACCAAGACCATAAATATCACTGAAGAATCATCATCTTGTGTGCAGAGGGCGTGTCACTCACTTAAGACAGTAGCACCAGGAAGGTTGCGGCCGTAACCAGGAAATAAAAAAATCAGTCAGACCAGTCTTGATTTAAAATCCAGAGTCGGCCCAGTCCGAGACCGAGACCTTCAAAAGGTGGTCTTGAGACCAAGACCCTTTTTATATCACAATTTGAAACCGATCTATGTGTATGTAAATGAATGTGTTTATTTATGGCTGTGCATGCATATGTGTAAATGTATATAGGTATGTATGTGTATATATATAGATATATTAGTGTTCTTTATCATTTTTGTCACCACGCAAACAGTTGGGAGCAAACTGTTGGGTTACGGAGGGTTGAGTTGCTGGGCTTTCTTTGTTGCAGAATAAATGTCCTGTTGACGGGAAGCTGGGCTTCACCTCAGTGTCTGCCCCACAGAATGAGGATCTCTCTATTGTCTTTGATTGTCTTTGTTGATGTTTTTTGCATATGGTTGTCTTGCGTTAAATCCTGCTCTTTTCTTTGTTCTATAATTTTGATAAACAAAATAAAATGTATGTGGAGTTCCACACAGTGTTTCTATTATAAAATGAATGTCCATTTGTCTTTTATTAGAAGTGACAGATCAGAGATTTCACTCCTACTTTTCCATTTTCCTTCACAGGTGATCATCCACAAACACAAACACACGGAAACCCACCAGGATCATGAGTCTCTGATCCAGTTGTTTTCAGACCGAACAAATTAGTGAAGACTTACCAGAGATCTTTCATATGTTTATTTCTCCACTTTAACTTTACAAAAGCAACAACAGGTCAAAAACATGCTCGCCCTTGCTTATCTTCCCCCCCTGCAGAGACTCTTTTAATATTGTTTTTTAAAAACTTGGTTTCAGGGATATAGACCACGCCTCAAACACAACCCATTTCAGTTTCATACGTATCAAACAAGCCTTACTTACTCCTATTCCTCCGACGCTGACCCTTACCTTCATCCATTTATCTATCCACCCTCAATCTTCACATTGTCCAAACTCACTCATCATTGCGATCTCCACCATGCAGAGGCGCTGCTTGTCAATAGGTAAGGCAGGCAACTGCTTAGGGCTTCAGGCCAGTAAGGTGACCCCAAGGGCTGACAAACTTTGAACCACAGCAGGGGCTGAAAATATGCACATTTTGCAATTACTGTAGGAAACATCCCTACTAAACATCACATGCATTTTCTGCTATGAGAACTAAAGTTTGATAATGGCATTGAAGGAAATTGAAGAAGAATTTTCTGTGTGGGAGTGAAAAAAAAGTAAAGAAAAAAAGAGGAAGACAAGTAAGCCTTTGGGCACTGGCAGGCATAACGGTGATGAACGCTGGTTGGATGGGCTTCCCAATTAATTTTTGCTTGGGGCACCAACAGACTCTAGAATTGCCAATGCCGACATATTACAATAAACTATTCCTAATCAATATCTTTCTTGGTGTGGTCTTTGTTAGTGACCTACGAGTTCAAGAAGAATGTATACACCAATGTGCAGTAACATCACGACCACCCTCTCGTCTGGTCAGGGTCAAAATAGTCCTGCCCCTGACCAGACCAGGCATGGACTCCACTGGTCTTCTGATGGTGTGCTGCTGTAACTAGCAGCAGATCCTTAAAGTCTGTTAAGTTGCGAGGTGAGGCCTCCATGGATTGGACTGCTCACCCAACAGATGCTCAGTTGGATTAAGATTTACGAGGAGGGAATTACGAAGTCAAATCAAATTGTCGTGTTCTCTGAGCCACCTTCTTCCATTGTTCTGTAGTCTGGTTCTGATGCTCGCATGCCCATTGCAGGCACCATCACTGGTAAAACGTAGTAAGCATGGTCACCCTGACTGGTCTGCAGCTATACAGGCTCACAAAACAACAAACTGTGATGTAATGTGTCTTTCTATCAAACAAGCGTGAACTTTTTAAGAAGTTGAAGCTCTAGTAGGTCCTCTGTTGGATCAGACAACTCAGATCAGTCCTCCTTCCTTGGACCACACCACTGCAGAAACAGAACATCCCACAAGAGCTGCAGAGTTTAAGATGCTCGGACTCAGACGTCTAGCCTTCATAATTGTCCCTTATCAAATATCACATTAACTTATTAATGCTTAACATATTCCACTCACTGTCTGGTGTCATTGTAAAGAGATAATCCTTGTTATTCACTTCACCTGTCAGTGGTCATAATGTTATGGCTGGCCAGAGAATCGGAGCCCGCCATGCTTCAGTTCCTGCACCGCTCGGTGAACAATGACACAGCTAAAACAAAAACAAAAAAGTGCGAGAGATTCCACTGAAAAAAACACCTCCGCCTCACGTTACAGTATTTACATTATCCTCATTGTTTTTAAAGGATTATTGATTGCACGCGAAGGACCTGTCATTGTGAAATCAGCTGAGAAGTTTCCTCTCACTCTGCAGGTTTACTGTCGGCGGGGACATGTGGCCTTGCTATGAAATGAATACATTCTTTCCACTGTCACACACTCGGCGAGCAGGTTAATCTTCAGATTAAAGAGTTTTTTTGTGCAAATATGTGAGTGTTCTTTGAGTAAACATTCACATTTCATATATAGTACATTTTCTGGAGTCTTCTCTTTTAATTCCAGTTTGTTTCATGGTTATTATGGTTACTACGAAAGTACACAGAAAATTAAAAAATGTGGACTTTAATATGGATTTAAGGTCAATTAGGCAATTTGAAACATCTTTGTATAAGAAGTCTACTTCTATCCAGTATGTTGGTCACATAACGATGTGCTAATGGTGATGATCAGCAAACATACCGCAGACATTAGCCTGAACACAGGGATTAGTACCTAAGATTAGATACTGTTGTCAGTGGAGTGTTTGCCGACTCCACCCGAGCGCCCTCCGTCAGGTCACAGTGATGGTACCAGTGTGGGTGTAGCAGAGGATTTCAAACAACTGAATAGCACTCGTATTATTGGAAGCCAGTCTCTCTAGTACTGAGGGGATTTTAAAAGCATTTTCCATCCAGCATCAGTCATTCCTGATGACAGTGAGTCAAGAAGGCTGTGAAAGTCTGAAGTCTGACATGACAAGAATGAAGAAGACGTATAGAGACCTGCGCAGGTCTGGACAAACAAATAGTGCATTCCATAAATACCTGCTGGAGAAATCTATTGTGGAGGATTTTTGCTCCAAAGGGATTTCAATGACTTTAAATTAAGGTCACAATATTCACCATTCACTACTTTGCTCATTAGCATTCTTACTAGTAGCATACTGGCAGCTTATTAGTCTTTTTTAAAGGGGACATATTATGAAAACACTTCTTCAGTGTTTCTGAACATATATCTGGTAACCTGAGTGTCTACTGACCCACGAAATGTGGCACACACACACACACAAAACGGAGCGTTCTGAGAGAGCTGGTTTATACAGGGTCACAAACCTCCTCTGGTGCTTGATTCATGTTATATTTTGACCAAAGCACAGCACAGGTGTTTCATTTAGATCACAGGGGGAGTGTTTTAAAAGGGGGAGAAGGGGGAGAATATGTCACCTTTGACTCCATCAACTTTGGACAAATCAGGGACGTGAACCAGGAGATGGAGATGGCTCACACCCTTAATCCATCATGAGCAATTTAGCAAAGCAGCAAAAGTTACATTGGTAAGAAAAGAAAAATTTGACCCAGATGTCACATACACACCACATTCAAAAAGTCAGTTTTCACAGCAGGAACTAACATAATTACAGCCTGGCAGAAGAAACTAAATTGGCTTATAAGCTCACGTCTCAATATGCACAAACAAATTAAATAAAAATATAAACTCCTAGTTTGATATTGATTTGTTAGACAGTAAGCAACATCATTATTCTGTCTTTCTTGGACAGTTGTAGTTCATCTTTATTTGGATTCTTATACACAGGAAGGCCTCAGGGGCGCTGGTAGCCTAGTGGTCAATGCACGCGCCCCATGTACAGAACCAGGTGGCCCGGGTTCGAATATGACCTGTCCCACATGTCTTATCTCTAAAATAAGGGCACTTACTGTTTTTTAAAACAGTAAGGCCTCATAAAAGAGGGTCAATATAGCAAAGTTATATCTATTTGGGTCACTCATGTATTTGATAAGAGGGCTTCACCTTTACGCTTACATGCCCCAGAGACTCTGGGACGCCTCTGCAGACTCTCACAGTTTGATTCTCTGTTTGAGGAGATTATTCTATCTGCAGCGACCTGCTGGCCGTCATGTTTGTTGTAGGAGATCATACAAAGCCCTATTTGAACAATGTGAATCATACATTATAAACACAGACAAAATAAAGTATTGTGGTCAGCATGTCAGAATGAGAGAGTAAACAGCCTCAGGTGTTTATACTCGTCATGCAGTTTTATCCTCGGAGAAATTCCCCGCTTTGAACCCGTCTGTCCGGTTCGGCAACAGATTAAAAAAAGAAGACAGTAAAGGGGAAGAATGATGACTTTAAAAATATCAGACCACTTCACCTGGAATCCTGTCCGTACATCCGGTTCCTTGTTTTAGTAAGAGGGTGTGTGTTGTCATGAAGAAAGAGGGAGGAGGACTGTGGGAAGTTTATTTTCACTCAAAAGACAAAAAAGCACCCAAACAGTCTGATAAGAAAGTCTGCAGGCGGGAAAGAAGCTCGACAGAAACTAAAATTCTCTCCCTGCAGTGGGAAATGCAAACTCCAGCCTGTAATAAGATACAAGAGAGCTGAGATTCCTCACTGCTGTAATCTATTGTCACTGACAATGAAGAATATAATCATGCTTAACAAAGACACCTGAAGGGCTTTTTCCTTGTCCCCTCTGACAGGTGTGAAGATGCCTGCAGTGAGAGCAAGACACCTCAACATCTTAGAAGATGTTTGGACTGTTTCATGTTTTTTATCAGGCAGGTGATCAGCCAAAGACTGGAAAAAGGAACAAACTGAGCGCTGACCTTTTCAA